TTAACTAGGGAACTCATATCAATCTTCATTCACCCAGTAGTTAGAGATGATTAACCAACCATCAATTCCTACAACTGGACTACAGGCGCCATATGTTCTGCCAATTAAGAGTTTTATCTAGTATCATTCTTCGGTACTTTATAACTTTTGGTCCCTCAGTCCCTTGCAATAACCTACTTATATGCACGTGTGCTGATGTGAAAACGATATGGCTGTGAATCTTCTCATATATCCACGTGCCTTGTGGCCTGCTTGGAAGTATTTCTCATTGCAACTAGTAACGTGCAATATGCTTTATTGTTAAGAAACTCCGCTCGTGGATAAAGTCTAAAAGCTCACTTCAAATTGAAGCATACGCTGAAGATGTTGCCTAGTAAGGCAGTAAAAGTTTCGCAAATAAACCAGCCCACATAACACAGTTACATCAGAATCGCCTCTTGTCAGGCATTTTCCAACGCTGACAAAGTACAACACCTCTCGATCCTAAAGTGCCTCAGGGCTTGTACGAATTGGTTTGTATGCCATAGTAAGTATTCTCTTGAAAAGGTCGCCCATAAAATATTGACATCTCCATGATGGAAAATCTTACTCTATAAGGTCCTCAAACTATTCAAAGAGTCACCAGTCATCTTCTCTGCAGATTGTGCACATATATGTTCTCTCATTAATCATTGAACGAAACAAACGTTCGAAAGTTCTATAATTCAGGCCCTGATATACTACTGTAAGATCATGAAGGCAAGTGTGAAATAAAACACAGGTGATGTGTTGCACTGTGGCGTTTGCTACGGACAGAATTAATGAGAAATTGACTGGTAAGAAGTGGCCAAATCACGGTTAGCATTTTAAGCCAGTTCTAAAGAGGTAGAAGTGTTTCTTCCTCAACTATGGATCTAGTTTAATTTGCAGTCAGAAAACTACCTCATTGGATAACTAATCATGTCATTGTTAGACTCTGAGCGTGTCGCCAACCAATCGAACAGTCAATTGTCTGATGATGTGACAGTTTTTTACTGTTGTAACAAACCCATAAATATGACATTTTTCCTTAATAACAAAGTCCATTGTCCAAGTGGGCTTTTCTTCATTCATTCATGTGGTACCTTTTTTCAGCAAGAGCCATATTTAAAGCCGCCCGGTGACAATATTACACTTAGCCAGTCTTTCTGCCATCTAGTTCAATAACATCATCATCACCTTATATAGCTTTTCGTCAAAACTTCTCCCTATATGCCCGTCAAGGCTTCATGAAACGCTTTACAATTCAACATGCTATGTTTTGAAGGATATTCAAATCCAGCGTCTTACTAAATCATAATTTACAAGCGTTACATTACTTTTGGCAGAAACATCGATCCGCGACTTAATAAACCCTATATATCTGGGATATTAATTAAGTTACTATTCAAATAATCCATTTTCACTTCCTGCTCCACCAGCAGCCATATGTTTGGAAATAACTACATTATGAATTATGAATTTTCACTGTATATTCACCCATCACATTTTTGCATAATTCTTTCCTGAAAATCCTTCACACAAATCATCTCTGTTCACTTTTTGAGACCTAGTTGTGTGCTTACTTGGATTAAGGACTTCTTCAGAATAGCTCGATTCAATCTTGGATACGTGTGCCGGATTTCAAACACGCAAGAATAGTTCATCCCCTTCTCAGATAAATGAAAGATAATCTGTTGGATATACCCATCGACAATAAACCAAGATAACTTCTTTGTATGCAGCAAGATTGGTTGTATAGCTCACACTTTGTTACCTAGGCGAAGTCTACGAGTGAAGCCCAATACAGTACACATTAGTAATTCTGACCGTATCACTCTGATCCTCTGTCGACCAGCAAAAGCCAAGTCTATAACAGGAGGTGTAGCTTTCAATGAATGGGAATCGTACCCTGACATATACGACAACAGGAAATCATTTAGGCGTTCGCCTACATTGAGTGCTTTCATTTACTCTGCAGCACCGAAATGCAACGAAAAATGGGTTATACAACTCAGTGAGATAGATGAATCCTATAATCGTCAGTACAAAAAACATAAACGTACTCTTCTTCAGGGTCAGAGATAATAAATTGCACGGGCTTGTGGGTCGACTTTTATCTTGCTAGACCCACTTTTTGTCAGCTCTTCCCGCTAACCCTATAGCCTGACTCATCTCAGGTGGTGTCCGGATTGTTCTTAAAACCAGTCCAGCTAGTAGAAGGAGGCTATAATAGTGACCTTTCTTCAGGGATCTGCTTGTTAGTGGCAGTGTAAAGAATATGCGTAGGTAGACAATCACAACCAACGCGGCAAACGTGCCCTTGTCCTTTGAAAATCCAATTGTTCCTAGTGTAATTAAGTCAGTACATATAAAAAACAATCTTTGGGGATGGAATGGCTGGGATTCGTCTGAACTGACGAATTTCCTCTGTCCCTTCCAGCAACGCGATGGGGACAGTAATGATGCTCAGTTCAGCACTTTAACTTTCTGAATATAAAATTCCTGATACAATTTGCATGTTGCGAGACTGACTGGAAGTTTATTCAGTTAACACACAGCTCATTTTATCCCCTCATCATAGACAAACCAACATGATATCCTTGCGGAAGAATACAAAAACCTCCATGTCACATGACCTATTCCTGAGGGAGGAAAACTTGAATACACCAGGAATTTTTCACTTCCTTATGTGCTTCTTATTTCTAACACTTCTGAAAAGGCAGAAGGATGCTTGGTGAACACAAGAGCAACAACACAGCAATAATCGACAAATGTCAGATAATATTTAGGAAGCTTATAGTACCAGCAATGATGTCAGTTAAGTCTCATAAACCGGTAATGCCGGCTCTTGCTACGCTGGACCTCACGTTGTCCCCAGAAGATTTTCAGAAACGCTTAGCATCAACCGACGCAAAAACCAAAGCACTGTTTGGCGACTCAAGAATTCTTTATTTTAACGCCAACATATAACCAGCAATACTAGCATTACAGACTAAGGTTTCTGGGAGTTTTTTGATCTTCTTTCTGAACAGCGACCGATGAGACGATGACTGGTGGATTGATGCCTCCGCGAAAATATCGGGAAGTTGGGTTTGAGCAAACAACCATGAATTGATCGTTCAATCTTCAACTACATGTGGTAATGGTGAAGTGCCCTGATAGTTTGTTTTCGCATCAGAACGTTAGAGTTAAGACACATCCCGAAGCCTTCAAGTCAGTTGTCGGCAGAGACACTCGAATTTGGCCGGGGTGTGGAAAACATTTGTGTAGCTAACTACTGTAAGGACCTTCATCGAGCATATCACCTCATTTAATCCTTTTCAAATAATATTTGATAAACAATATGGGCTCGATATTTGGAATGTACATCAATTTTATCCTTTTTAAATTACGCTACTATAAATATTATTTTGTTACCATTATCATGTACTGGTTGATATGGCAGCAGATATATGCTCCTGCCCTCTCTGTGTGTTCTCTTGAGATCCGTGCTCACCATGCTATTACGAGTAGTTTGATTCACTGTTGGTAAAATAATTGGTTAGGGATAAAAGCATGAGAAGCCCAAAAACTGATATTAAAGCTTTGCAGAAAGGCTGACGTAATGCCACTGAAACAGGCAGATGTATCATGCAACGCGGTTGCAGAATTCCTCTAGACGCGTGGTACAAAATCAACTACGTGAAGAAGTTCAAATCGTAACTGACCGCTTCTGATCTTCCTAAACATATGTACCGTGACGGGAGCTTGGCGAATTTGATTTGCGATAACATATTTCATTGCCCGAATAATTTAAGCAAAATATATAAATAATTCGCTATGATGTTAGACTGAAAGTTGATACAATACGCAACCTCATACCTCGGTACGCAGTCGGTCTGTGCCGAACGAAATGTTATATTTAACCTTAAAGCAAACCAGACTCTAGGAAGGAAGTAAAGCCTGGTGAAGTTCATCCATTTCTTCCTAGGGTGTCGGCTGTCCACACAACCTTTTCAACAACCATCAGTTCTTTGGACTATCTCTCACATAAGGAGTGTTTGCTATTAGCTAGAATGATGAGGGTGTAACGCATATCTATAGGACAAGACCCTGACGATATCATTCAAGTGGAGGCGTATTAACCCTGTCTGCGTTTGGGATCTGATTCTGAAAAGAACAGTAAGAAAATCTAGTAACGCATGCCTTTTTTAAGGGATTTTCCATGACCTACTAGACTCAGCCCACTAGACAAGAAAGGTTTTTGAGCCGCCATCAAAGGATTAACTTAAATCCACCTGTTCTCCGTTGGTGAGGGATGCATTCTTAAGAGATCCTTTGGACTGAAGCTCGAGGCGGAGTCCTGTTGTATTTAGCTACATGCTTCCCAGCATACATGATACAGAAATCCGGGGATGGCTTGAACAGGACAGGAATGAGGCTACCCTGAAAAGGAAGTTTAATAACCTGCCAAAGTGGTTACAATAGAGATCGTTGTCCACCTTTAAATCAGAATGAGCCGCCATCTGAAACAGATATGCGATTGCTGAATTGGACCCATTTTAATTTGAGATGCCCACTAACTGGAGTGCCAGTATTCCCTAGAAAATGTGGCTTAATGATGTCCAGCCGTGACTCAGAGAGCCAGAAAAAATTGCACAGAATTTAGCACCACTTATAGGATCACCAGATATGTACTACAGTCAACATACATCTTGATGAGGTCCCGACTGAAAGATAGCAAGTGACTGTGAGATACGGAACCATAGTAGAATGAGTTTGAAGAGCGGAAACACATATAGACGCATATGGTTGATCACATTGCGGATGGCGGAATTTCTTCTCATCTAACAGAAGGCGGGAGTGAACTAATCACAATGAGCAACATTTTAAGAAATGACTACGGAAATGGTGGATATTCTCTTTGCCCACCAATTATGCCGAAACAACTCGAATGATCTGCATGAACAGGGAAATGTCAGAGAAAACACGTGTGACTGTAAACTGCAGTCCTTTCTACCCCCAACCCTCGAGGTCATTAAATATTGGAATTCCTTCCAAAAAGTGATTTTATAGTCATCAGTTGACTTGATGGAATGAGAAGCAGTCAGACAAAAGTACTACATAGAGAAGCATTAATGTAAACTCCAAGCGTTTTATCCCCAAAGATGAAATTGAAGTGTCGAAATTTTCGAAGCGCTATTATCAAAACACGTACGTTGCCTAAGCCGAATGTAGCGTGTTCTCTGGTTTACTCACTTTACTGTTTAAATAAATGCTTTTTCTAAGGTACGTTGCATTCTAATTTATAGTATTCTATTTCTTCTTGTTTGAGGTGACTGATAACATTTTATGGTCAAATAGATTTTAGTTGTTACTTGGCAGGCAAACTTTATTTCGGATTTAATTTGACAAAATTAGGGTTTAGATAAAGCAATAAGAAGACGTAATTTGTCTGAATCGCGTGTAATGTATTTGCGCAACACATTTCAAACAATCTGATCACACACGGACTTGTCATAGGAATATATATGAAATTAATAAAGAGGTAAGAGGTGAGAAAAATAGACTTAGGTCAAGTTAAAAGGACAAATTCAAGGTCAAAATAACAATGAAGACCACTAAACCAAATAACAGAGGTAATAGTACGTACATCTGCTATGGTATCAAAACAAAATTTACCAAGGAAGGTTTAATGTGATAACAAATTGTTTTTGGACGCATAAAGGTGGCTTGAACTTTCTAATTGCTAGGGCTTCTACAAACTTTAGGTTACGCCTCAAGCACCTTTTATAGATAGGTTTAAAAGATCTGTTAACATCAATTTTATGACCTATCTATAAAATGTTTCGCAATAGAAGAGCTAGGTCTCCTGTTCTCACCGTTAATAGGTTCTGATGATTTTGTTTGTTTCTGGAGCCATTTTGGGATATGCTCTGAAATTGGGTGGTGCCATATTACTTAAGTTCGTTGTAATAGCTATGTGGTTATGCAGACAGTGTTTCATGGCCTTAGTTAACACTCAAAGTTAACGCAAGGCTCACTTACCTGAAATTACCATTGGTAATAACATCAATACAAAGACATCATTTCAGTTACTAGTGCTTGATTGTCAAGAGGTAACTAAAATATGCAAGGTTCCATCTCTAGAGGTTCGAATATACACGTGTGTTTAAACAGTAAGTAGCTAGGACTTTCCCTTCCACTCCTAAAGCAACATGTTCTCTTATGCTAATTTCTTTCCAAAAGTCTTGAGATATGACGAATTTCTCTACTTAAATATCAGCATTTATGGATGTGCTTTTATAACTGCGTCTGGATATTAAATGGCAAGCAGTCGTACTGTTATCGGGAAAGTTAAGAGATGGCCCGACACTATCGAAATACCTTGACAAGATCTGATGTTAACTTTCACTTGAAAGGACTGAGATTTCATTAGATTTTATCTTGTTTACAATAAAACACTATGCTATCTACATGATTTACCCAGGAGGTGAAGATTGCAGTAAAGTGTTCGACAATATAATGGCATTTATGCTTCTCATAGTAACATTCTTGTAGGTATGTTTGCGACATGAAGTAGTGGTTAGAAGAGTGAACTTTTTTCTCATTGAGATTAAATCCCCCCCTTCCCCTTAGCTGGAATGTTCAGCAGACATTGGAATAAGGCCAACAAAGTGAATACAGTAGTACACGAAGTATAAAAGTAAATTCAGATGATGAGATACTGGCCTATGTTAATCCTTGCTATATATATATATATCTGCAGGGTTATATTGGCATTAAGATGATAATAAGATTTGAGTAAATTTTTCATTCAGTTCTATGCGTCATATAAAGTTATGAAAGTTATGCAGTCTTCTGAACACCTTGAGCAGCAATCTTCGTATGTTTGGCATGCGATTCGCCCCTGCAAAATGTAAGATGCTGCTACAGGACTGGACCACGTCAACCCCTAACTTAGTGATAGGGAGGGAAGTGACAGAACATGTTGACCACTTCACCTACTTGGGAAGTTGTATTAGCACCAACGGACTGATTGGCGATGAAATCTCAGCACGGATCCGAAAAGCTCGAGCTGCTTTCGCTGACTTACACCATCTCTGGCGTAGGCGCGACATCCGGTTATCAACCAAGGGACGTGTGTACTGCTCATCAGTTCGCTCCGTCCTTCTCTATGGCCCTGAAACATGGCCAATACGCGTTGAAGACATGAAAAGGTTGACTGCTTTCGATCATAGATGTCTGCGATCTCTGTCTCACGTTAGGTGGTTTCACAAGATAAGTAATGTTGATGTTAGGCGTAGAGTGTTGGGCAAAGAGGGAAAATCAATCGACGAGGCTATAAAGTTACATAGACTAAGATGGCTAGGTCACGTGGTGCGCATGCCTAACCACCGCCTCCCCCGACGGGCTTTGCTAGCTGATATAGGTTCAGGTTGGAAAAGAGCCAGTGGTGGCCAAACAAAAACATGGCCTCATCAATCCATGAAATCCTTGACAGTTAAACTGAGTCAGGTAGGGAGATGCAGACTCCCGGGTTGGGGCCCTCGGGACTCTAGGAATCAATGGCTGCAGACAATAGGTGACATGGCTCAAAATCGTTGTCAATGACAGCGCAGATGTATTCAGTCTCTGTAATCTTTCATATTCCTTTCTACCATTACCCATTCTGTTTCACTCTTATACTTGTCAAACTCTATTAATTCTCTTCACTCATCTTCTTGTCTACCTCTGTGGGCTATTTGGAACGTGGCAACTCGAACTGCTGCACTTCGGTGCCAAGTTCTATGTTGAATCCAGACAGACAGACTACAGATTTTGATGCTCAGAAGACCTACAGTACCCTACACATCTCAGTTTTCAAAGTGATAACTTCGTAGATTGGTATGTGTTAGAGAAGTTTCCCTCTAGTCCTCTCCGAACGATGATTAGAAAACCGTAAAAAACCAGTCTGATCTCCACGACTGTACACTGATTCAAGTTAGTAGGCTTAAGGAAAGCAAACGCTGATGTAGCCAGATGAATAATTAATTGATGGGTGAAGATTTTTCAAGATTTGGAAGATAACAGGAATTGAATACATTCGGACTTTTGTGAGTGACTTTGACCTGTCGCAAAGAATCTGCAATCACTGATTCTTAGCGTCCCGGGGTCGTGGACCAAAAAGTGTATACCCAATTTTTATGTGAAATTTAATGTCAATGACTTAATTATTAATTTTCTAGCCTATTATAACCAGATTCTACTTCAACTAGCATTGCATTTTGAAGATGGTGGTGCGTTATTAGTAAAACGTCTTGACATCTCAACTGATTTGGTTTCATATTCTCGTTCACCAGCGTATTTAGTAGCTAGTCGATTATGATTGGAGCAAGGCACTTAATCATTTCACACTCTATCCTTTAAGCAAAAGTTGATGCAGACCAAATCTTGAGTGATGTTGAGGCGAACTGCACGCTAAACATATTCAAATTTTTCAGCGGACATAGCCTTTTGTTATTGTCTTCACCTAAAAGGATTAAATCGGTGAAATCATCTGGTAGGAAGTCGATTCTTGAAAATCTAAAGTCCGCAATCACATGCAGCAGTTAATACATTATGAAGTTAAATAAAAACAGTAAGGTTAGGCAACCCTGGTTGACACAACATGTTATTAAGAGTCTTATCTCTTGAACAAGTTTATTAGCTTAAGGAGCCCGCCTTGACTAGCATAATATACCTTGTTAGTACTCGCTGCTTAATCAGATATTTTCACAAAAACTCTCAGTCGACTCAGTTAATTGTGATTCCACCTCAGGAATATCAAATATCTGCCACCTTTTAGTATATTTGTGTTCCAAAATCTCTCAAAAGATCAGTTTGACCTTGTCCACAGCTGACGTCTGTCCAACTCCTGTTTGGGTTACACGTAGTCTTAATGTTACCATAAATTGGTAGGTCTCAGATAATATAATGGTCAAGCTGATCCTCCCGTGGTTGAATGAATTATGAAATTTTTTCACCTCAAAAATGAATGTTGTTTCTTGGATGAGTATGAAAAAGCAGTCGCTTATGAACCATACTTAACTTAGAATAGGTCATTACACCCATGTTTTGAGAACCGTACAGAACATTTGCCGAATATTGTTTTGCTGGCTAACCACTACTGCATAAATATCTGGCCTTTCAATTTAGGTAGACAGTCCCTCTCTTAACAACCAGCCAGTCCAGATTGAAATGCACAAAATATGTCACGAGTTACCTAATCAGCAAAACATTGAAAGGTTCGGGCTGCATTAATTGGTTGCAAACTGATTTATGCGATAAAACTGATGTAGTTAAAAAATCTAGTTGTTCGAATAGAATTCATGTTTAATGATGGTTTAATGGGTATTTGTTGTGCATTACTATTAAAAATAAATTAGTCAATGAATGTAAAACAAGGCGATGTTTGTACTAACGTCTTAACGTTGAATGCTAATAGCTTTCTCAAAGTAGCAACCAATCAGTATTTATAAAGATTCATCTTATATATTGGTAACTCAACTCAAGTCCCTCTGTATGAGGTAATTCTGCCTTGCTAAGTAAATGAAATGATAGGGGTAACAGATGTGCAGATTATCAGATCTGATATGCGCATACATCACGAAAACAGTATATGTTTATGTAATAAAAAAAGTTGTCACACTGGTGTTATTTTAATTCGTGGGCGTATGTGTGTCGAATTCTATCTTAGCCATTCCTGTTCAAACAATTGGGTTGCTGCTCTATATGAATTGATCGTTTAAAGACTAATTGCTCTAATTTCTCCTTTCTGTAACTACAGAATTTTTTTACTGCCTAGCTTATACGGTCTATCTCTCACCTCCCCCCGTTTTTCCTCATCTCCCACATATATGCTGGTGTGAAGTGTATAGTAATGTGCAGCGGTAAATGTCCACAAATCACTTGTCTTCAATTTTCGTCTTATTTATATTCACATTTTCTTAGAAATTACATTTTTAAACCATAGGTGTAGTCTAACCTTCAGACGCTATCGAAGTAATTAATCTTAAGACCAGCCAAGTTTGTGTATTTAAGTACTTTCTAAATTTCCTAATCTAGTTAAAACCACATGACTAAATGTTTACTGAAGGAATAAAAGTGGTTTCAAGTGAGTCAGCATCACATTTCCATGTCGGACTGTTTTCTGCAAGCCTTTTTACCTGGTTCCACAATTGCGCATAAGCTTTCACCTCCTCTTTACGAGAACTCCACATCACCCTCGAACCGATGCCTAAGTCGTTGTTGCCGATTCGATTTCCATTTGAGGGTCTGGCGCGTGGTTTCACTCAACGATCTCCTCAGATTATTTCCAAGTCATCTCCTTTCCCGTCTGCTCATTTACTGGACGACGGATTCTTGGTTGCTTCATTACCATAGTCCCTTGTCGCTTATCCTTTCTGACCATCCGATGTGCAGTGACCTGTTGGAAGTGTTTCAGTGACTCCAAGTCTGTAAACCATTTAAAAACACTGAATGACTCGACATAAGTTTTGAAAATTTGGATGTTGTTTCTCATTCTGAGTTCACCAGACTTTCACACTGATTCCAGATTAGCGAACATCTGTCTGTCTATTTTTGTCAGCCTACCTTTGACATTCCCATCCGTAGTAAACTATAATTATTAGGATCAGTGTCTCATTCGTAGTATTTCAGTTATAAGTTGAATACATAAGAATTCTACAAATGAGATAATTAGAGCATTCATTGTTTATCGTCTTGTCAATTCGTAATATTAGTTTTTTTCATTTTTTTGTCTGTTTTAGATTTTCTTTCGAATGAATTCTGTTATCACTATTAGTTCTCTGGGGATAAATTGTATTTAACACATTATGGATGGAAACACCAGTAGTCTCTCCATCCTATCAGATAAAGTAATTCCACTCATTTTTTTCATTGCATACCTTGTAAAATTGAACTAATGTTCTTAAATATTGTTCTAAAGTGCTAGTTTTTTTTCCATTTCTTGCATTCCGCGTGGAACATAGGGCTTCAAGCTTTGAAGTTTCATTGACGGTGGGATTGTTTTTATGGAGTGGAGCTGCTAGCCTCCTACTCAGCCCTCCTTCTTTTTTCAGATTTGTTGGCTAGTAAACTAGACAAAGTTTAAGGAGTGTGTCAGCCGAGAATCGAACCCGGGTCTCCAGCATGGCTGGCAAGGATTCTACAATTGGACCACTGATACACACAGAGTTTCAGTATAATCCACTAGCTTTGTGTATATATTCAAGTATCGGATTGTGAGGGCGATTGTTACTTCCCGGCTGCCCACACCGTGGAAGTTGGTTGCGTGACCGCACAGCCCAGGGGACAACTGCTTGAGGCCGGTCACACGCGGCCTGTTTATGTTCGTTCTTTTTTGTTTGGTGTGTCTCAGTAGCAGATTTATCACTCCTGCCCTGTGACACGGTAGCAGGAAGCGCGGTCATTGTTAATCCGGGCCACGGCCGATCCGGCATGAAATTTTGTGATTTTGTATTGGACATGATGTTGGATTGGGTAGCTGCTTTTTGTTTAACCGCTATCCAAACAACCTTCCTGGCATGGTAGTACCTCAAGAGACATAAGTCTCAGCCAGTATAGCTTGAATAGATCATTGCGGTGTTCAAGCCCGACCACCACGTCAAGGTAGCAGCTTTCGGTCGGGACTTCAGCGACTCAGGGATTGACTTGCTACCGGGGAATAATCTCGTTGACTTAGAATATGCAGACGATATAGTCCTTCTAGGCGAAGACGCTGACGAAATGCAGAGTCTTCTAAACACCTTGAGCCGCAATCTACGAATGTTTGGCATGCGATTCGCTCCCGCCAAATGCAAGATGATGTTACAGGACTGGACTACATCGACGCCTAGTTTAAAAATAGGAAGTGAAGTGGTAGAGCACGTTGACCGCTTCACTTATTTGGGAAGTACCATCAGCCAGCGCCAACGGGTTGATCTCTGACGAAATCTCAGCACGGATTCAGAGGGCTCGTTTTGCATTTGTTAGTTTACGCCGACTCTGGCGTAGATGAGATGTTCGACTATTGACCAAAGGGCGGGTGTACTGCTCATCAGTCCGCTCCGACCTCCTGTATGGTTGTGAGACCTGGCCACTGATAGTGGAAGACATGAAAAGATTAGCTGTCTTTGATCATAGGTGCCTGCGCTCTATTTCCCGTGTAAAGTGGCATAATAAGGTGAGCAACATGGAGGTTAGGCGTAGAGTTCTAGGTAAACAGGGGAAATCAATCGACGAAGTCGTGAAGCTACAAAGACTGAGATGGTTAGGACATGTGTTACGTATGCCAAGCCATCGCCTCCCTCGACGAGCTATGTTAGCGGATATAAGGTCAGGCTGGAAAAAAGCTAGCGGCAGTCAAACAAAAGCTTGGCATCAGTTAATGAAATCCACAACAGTTGGTCTAAGCCACGTAGAAAGGTGTAGACTTCTAGGCTGGGGTCCTCGGGACGGTAAAGATCTATGGTTGGAAACAATTGGTGACATGGCTCAAACTCATCGTTCTCAGTGGCTAGCGCAGATGCATCCACTCCCTGTGACTTATGATCTTCAATGAAACTGTTTTGTTCTTCGTTATTACTCCTCCTTTGTCTCACACCTCTGCTCACTGTTTCTATTATGCTTTTCTTGTACTTTCTTCTCTTGCTTCGCGTGCTACATGGAATGTGGCGACTTGGACTTCCGCACATTTGTGCAAAGTTCTGTGTCGAAAACAGACAGACAGACAGATATTCAAGTATCAGTTATGAGGCTGTAACTCATTCTTCTCAGTTCTCATGTGTCCAAGTTCAAATGTGGCACTTTCTACTATTGTTCACACAACTGGATAGTATCTCATAATAAAGGGCATGAGGCTGCAGAGGAAAGCAAGTCGCCTTCAGATTTCATTCAGCACTAGCTAAATCTTAGCTAATTTCACTGTAGATTTGGCCAGCAATTGATATCAGTTAGAAAATTCCAAAAAATCATGGACAGTTGTTTCGTCCTAACCTGGGACTCTTCAGCGTTGCAGATCGACGACCCTACTAGAGACCGAACTGTAGACCCTTAAATTACGAGGTGATCTCGTTGTGACAGTTCAGCCATCCGGTTGGGATACAATAACCTCTTACCTAGCGTTGTATGACGATCCCTTAAATAGCTTACTTATACTTTAAGTAGTGAAAAATCAACAACATAGGTCCAGGGTATTTCGTGGAAATATAGCCTTATTGGCTTCTGCACTTTTACTTTCAACCAATCAGTCACAGATTCGAATACCGCTCTACGTAATTCAGCTTAAGCAATTGGGTAGTGTTATCAGCCCTCACACGGTGATTTTGTGGCCCATAGCCGGGTACACGAGAAATCTGTTTTAGGTAATATGAGAATGCACTAAGCTGTGATGATAGGTAACAATACTATCTGGCCACGCAGGCGTCTGTAAATAATGTAGTACTGTAATTATTAAGTTTTAGCTAACTGCATGGATGCAGAAGGCTCGTTTGGCATATGCCAATTTACGCCATCTCTGGCTTAGTAGGCATGCTATCCGGCTGTCGACCAAAGGGCGTGTGTACTGTTCAGCAGTTCACTCCGTCCTCCTTTATGACCGTGAGCGAGACATGGTCATTGAGAGTGGAATACAAGAAAAGGCTAGTTGTCTTTGATCATAGGTATCTGCGTTCTATCTCCCGTGTGAAGTGGTATAATAGGGTGAGCAATATTGAGGTGAGGTATCGGTTGAGGGCTGGGTAAGGAGGTGAAGTCAATCGACGAGGTTGTGAAGTTACACCTATTAAGATGGTTAGGAGATGTGTTGCGCATGCCTAGCCTAGCCATCGCCTTCCTCGACAATGGGCAATGTTAGCTGACATAGGTTGGATCAGGTTGGAAAAGAGTTAACTAATGGTGGTCAAACGTAAACATGGCCTCATCAGTCAATGAAATCCACAACAGTTCGTTTAAACCAGCCAGCCACGTAGGGAGGTGTAAACTTACTAACTGGCTAGTTGGGGTCCTCGGGATGGTAAAAACCGATGATGGGGCTCAAAATCGTTCTCAATGGCTGGTGCAGATGTATTCACTCTTTGTGATTTATAATATTCAATAAAATCCTACTATCCTTCCATATTACTGTTCTTTCTGCCTCATATTTCTGTTAATTATTTCTCTTTTGAGCCTCCCTTTATACTCTTCTCTTGCTTTGTGTCCTACAAGGAGGTAGTATGGCAAGTGGAACTGCTGCATATCTGTGGAAAGTTCTGCGTTGAAACCAGTTGGTGGACGGACAACTGCCATGTCTAAACCTTCATCATCAGTTAATTCATAATAATAGTGACAACCTATCTTGTACCATCAATGATAAATGTCAGTTGCGACAATCAGTTCAGTTGAGTTTTTTTCATACCTTGCATTTCCAGTTAGATAATACGGCTTTCAGGTTTGAAGATTTAATAGCGATGAGGTTGCTAACTTCTCCTCTCTCCAGACTCACTATCGGTTAGTAAACTATTCGAGGTTTAAGAAGTGGCCTGCCTGTGAATGGAGTTTGGGCCACCTGTGTGGTTAGAAGAATTTTTATTCTAGGTTTTCGAACACTCCTACTGAGTGAGGTGAATAACGACTGTGTAGTTTCTGTCACCGTAGTGAACATATAGAGGTTTAAGATTCACTAACTTAATCACAAGACTGTCTTGCCAATTAATTCCATGTTCTCAAAACCTACTCATCTTTATTACTTGTATACAGTGCACATCGTCAGCTAGAATATATACACATTGAAAGCTAAAGAAAAAAAATTATGCCTTTCATCTTTTCTTGTCATAATTAATTATTCAGTTGATATCCTATTGTTTTTTGTCTAATTTTTAGTATGCTTTCTTAAATCCGACTGAGGATCAATTTGTGCACTTAAAAACCTGTCTAGAAACAGAATTAGAAAATGGTCAGGGTGAATGCTTTTTAGAATTGGGTGTTGGAGGTAAGTTCATTGTTTTTATTTTCTTGCGAATGTCAGCATTCTTTACAAGTGGTCAAAATGAAGTGTTTTTTTTTGACTTAGCAAGAGTACAGATATAGTGTCATTCGAGTATATTATAATGTAACTAGGAGTTGGTCACCTTGACGAATAAACTACAATTATGCATCGATTAATATTACACAAGTACATTCATTTCTCTTGCTCTATCTGCTGACAATCTTTATGTAAACTTGTTTTTATTCAGTGGACAACTTCTTCCTCTTTATCAATTCTGTCTTGAACTCTTTTGTTTTGAAGTTTTGCTATGAAGTAGTGTTTAGAAAAATATAGTCCATTGGTTTGAGTTCATGAACTAGCTTTTTCAGAGATTTGGTTTGTTTCAAGTTTGATCACAGATTGATATCAGTTAGAGAGTCGTTGAAGACCCTCAAGAAGTACTGGATAGCTGTTACTTCCCCCCTAGTTTGTGACTCTTCAGTGGTACACACACCCATATAACACCACTTGGGGTCGAATTTAAGACCTCCAGGTTACCAAGCGAACTCGTACACCATTCAGTCCTCTGGAACAGAATCCAGTGACTACCCTATGTTATTCTAACTTCTATCAATTCGCGATTTTAGAAAAGCAACTGCTAGTCAGGTGGTTATTGATGGGTGTTCTGTGTTGATACATGATTGTTTGATAGGTAATAGAACGCTGCATAGTTGTGAAAAGTGTTAGCGCGAAATCAAAAGTAATATATACAAATTTAAGTAGATATATTTTGACTGTGCGAAGTTATTATCATTTATACACATCTCACTGATATGCCTTCCTCGAAAAAAGAAGTTAATCAGTTCCATCGGAACTGTGCTAACACATCCTGGATTAAGTTAGCTGAGACAAGGAATCAAGAACTGAGGCGAAATTAGTTACTTAAATCCATCGTGTGTATTTTAAAAGCTTTAAAAGCTGGTTGTGGGTACTATTGTGAGATATTTGTTTGATTGGTTGGGGGATTTCATCATAATTTAAAATCGGTTAGAGAACCATTGTAAAACCAGCTGGGAGTACTAGACAGCTGTTTCTTCAGCCTACTTTAGGACAGCAGGTTGAATGTGTGGGCGGTTACATATCGAAGGCATTGTTAAGTGGTTATGTTATGTCCTGAATTGGTAGAAGTTGGAATTCATGGGTTGACCACTGGATCCAGTCCCAGTGACTTAATAGTCTACAAGATCGCTTACCTTGTAACCAGGAGGTCTTGGGTTCGAACCCCCTGTGGTGGGCGCGTACTGCCGGAGCAGGGTCCCAAACTATGTTGACGAAGCAGCTGGTTGTCCAGTATCCCAGTAGCCTGGTTTTCCAATGGTTCTCTAACCGATGTCATTTCATGATGAAATCCTCCAACCAATCAAACAAAATCCCTGCTTAAAGATATTTATTCACTTATTAGGATTTAAATGGAAAGACTGTAAATATCTACTCAATAATGACACGTTCCTTTATAGAACCTATAAAATGACGGCCATCTGAAATAGCGCTATATATATAATGTTACCTTGACGCGCCAAACGTTTATCAACCTCATTGAACAGCTTTATGGTGATGCCACATGTCAGGTGGTTTGCAACAGAAAGCCCAGCAAAGCCTCCGAAGTCAAGACAGCAGTAAGACAAGGCTGCCTGCTATCACTGATAGCATTCCTAATTTCGGTGGACTGGGTCATGTGGGACACTGCAGAGAGAGAGAGAGAGAGAGAGAGATAAGATAGCGATAGGTTGGATTGACGAGAAGACTCTAGAAAAGCTAGACTTTGCGGATGATTCATGTGTATAATGTCATACGAAGTCGAAGACCTACGAATAAAGACCAACAAGTTGGCAGAAGAAGCAGAGAAGGCAGAATTTTAAGTGAACATAAAGAAGATACTTAACCAACAACAATAAACACCAATCACTGTCAACGGGACAAAATTTGAAGGCGGTCCCTTCGTTTACTTATCTCGACAATATCGTTTCACCTACAGGCTGTCGGTACAGATGAGGATATCAAAGCCAGAAAGGATCGAAAAAGCGAGACAAGTACTCATTGCTCTGAAATCTGTTGCACATTCAGAATAAAGATTAGGATTCGAATTTTCACCACTAATGTCAAGTCACTGCTTCTATATGATTTGGGGGCATTTCCAACAGACTGCAGACTTTTATTAGAAACTGTCTTCTTCATCCATACAGAAGGGTTGATCTCTGACGAAATCTCAGCACGGATACAGAGGGCTAGTTTCGCATATGCCAGTTTACACCGTCTCTGGCTTAGTAGACGTGATATCCGGGTATCGATCAAAGGACGGGTGTACTGTTCAGCAGTCCGATCCGTCCTCCTTTATGACTGTGAGTGAGACGTGGTCATTGAGAGTGGAAGACATGAAAAGATTAACTGTCTTCGATCATAGGTGCCTGCGCTCTATCTCCCGTGTGAAGTGGTATAATAAGGTGAGCGATATTCAGGTTAGGCCTTGGTCAAGTGCTAGGTAAGGAGGGGAAATCAATCGAGGAGGCTGTGAAGCTACATCGACTGAGATGGTTAGGACATGTGTTACGTATGCATGCCTAGTCATCGTCTTCCTCGACAATGTGCAATGCTAGCTGACATAGGTTAATCAGGTTAGAAAAGAGTTAGCTAGTGGTTGTTAAACCAAAAGATTGCCTCACCAGTCAATGAAATCCACAACAGTTCGTTTAAACCAGCCAGCCACGTAGGAAGGTGTACACTTCCTGACTGGCTAGTTGGGGTCCTCGGGACGGTAAAAACCAATGGAGGCTGGAAACAATTGGTGATATGGCTCAAACTCATCGTTCTCAATGGCTGGCTGGTGCAGATGCATCCACTCCTTGTCACTTATGATTTCCAATGAAACTATATTGTTCTTCGTTATAACTATTCCTTTGTCTCACACCTCTGTTTATTGTCTCTATTATGCATTTCTTCTACTTTCTTCTCTTGCTTTATGGGCTACAAGGAAGGGGTGTGGCGACTTGAACTGCTGCACATCGGTGCAAAGCTCTATGTCGAAAACAGACAGAACCATACAGAAAGATAGATTGCAGGTTGGGAAAGGAGGTAAGCAACGAGGAACTCTGGCAAAAAAGCAACCCGAAACCCTATAGCCCAACAAATATGCACACAGAAAAGGAGATGTATCGGAAAATACTCTGAGAAGGAGTTCGTTGGGTAGTGACATTGCGCACTAGGCCAACAAGTTGGTTGTACTCCCAAGGGTGTGACATAGAGGAGATGAGAGCCTATGTTGGGGTGGGGGCTAATCGTTCAGTCAGCCAAAAAGAAATTCAGAAAGCAGCAGAGTGACAATGAAGATGCGCTGTTAAAAGCCCTATGTTCGTTCCACTTGGAATCCAGGGGAATGATAATAATAATGAAAATAAAAGTGGGACGAGGGTAAAAAGGCCTTTCTTTTATTGATTTTTCTTTTGAACAGCTGTTTATTGAACATGAAGTGGTTTCCTCTTCCTCTTTCTTTCTCTCTCTCTCACTCTCGAAAATTACTTTTAATTCGTCACCAGTACTTGTCCACATGACTGATTTCCTTATTTATCATATGATGATGACATAATCATCTGATCGCTTCACACCACTAGTAAGAAAGAATCATTTGACTCCTAAAATCAATACAAAAATAATAATAATAATAATATCATTCAATAAGCCCAAAATAACTAGAGGTTTTGTCGTGTTCATTAAAAGTGTGAAGGTGTCTAAGTTAGCCAGCTTTCTTTTCAGAAAAATAATTCGATTAATTTCTTTCTCCCCCCCTCTCTGTGTGTCTGTATGGCTGTCTTGATCGTGGTGGTAGAACATGACTCCTAGATGAGTTTATGAAAGCACCGCAAATCACCATATATCACTGTACCTGTCTGAAATTTCTTCCCCTGGCTCCATGGCTTGTTTTTTTTTTACAAAACTCGTTATTATTATTTCTCTTCAAGTAAAGTGGAAAGCTGTTTCATCCTAGTCTGTGACTCTTCTTCCGTACGCATCCATGAATGACCCCACTGCTAGGGATTGAACCCGTAATCTTTATACTTATAACAATCACAAAATGCTTTACAAGCTAACACTTGAAAATTAACCTGACGCCCATTAGTGTGACTGACTAACTGACTATAGAGTGAAGTCACCATCTGGAGTTCTAGTGAGAATTCGTGACCCATTGGGGGGGGGTCCATCAAGTTCGGTGTAAGAATAAATACTCGCTGATAACATCGGCTTGTGGTGGCGCTAAAAATCGCGAATTCATAGGAGTTATAGTTCTTGGGCACTGTGGTAGTAATAATAATATTAATATTAATGACGACACCAACAATAAGGAATCTAAATCATCAGTAGTAATTCCATACAAGGAAGGAACCTTGGAAGCCTTACGCAGAATTCTTAACAAAGCAAGCAGCAATAAAAGCGACTGGCATTCAAACCCACAAACTCAATTAGAAACAAGCTCTGTCGTTTAAAGGATCAGTTCTGTGGAGTCTTTGAAACAAAACAATTTAGTTTATCTAATACCCAGTCTGTGATGATTGTCAGGTCAAATACATAGGTCAAACTAGTAGAACAGGGGCAGTAAGACTAGTGTAGCACAAAAACCTAGCAAAATCTAGATTGGTTGATCCAAATAAGATAAGAAATCTAGAGGATAGTTCAGCCATAGCATTGCATGCAATCACACACAACCATACAATAGGATGGGATAGGATGACAGTTTTAAAATCTAATGTAACAGCAGAGTGAAGGGAGAGATTGATAACAGAAGCTTTGTTTATCAAATCAGTTGAGGCGAATACATGTAATAGGAATGATTCAACACCTGTCCCTGATATCTGAAAAATTCTCCTACCCCTACGACAAATAGGAGAAAACAAAGAAAACTATAAAACTCAAGTTTCAAAGTCGTGTGATTATAATTGAAAGGATTATCAACCATAAATTTTGTTCGAAACATTGTCATCCAGTAAATAATACTGTTTCACTGTGTGATATAACTAATATGGAGTTATAGTTCTTCATTGTGTTATCAGATCCCATACTGAAGGTGTTGCGTTAGATCAGATCCCTTGTAGAAGAGGGTGATCATGGGTGCATATTGATGAAAAGTCTCATGCTAGGAGAAAACAGCTATCCAATTACACTCCCTGCCTGTTTTCAATGGCTCTCTAACTGGGTGTCAATCTGCGACTCAACTTAAAACTATTATTTCTGTTTTACTTATCATTCCATTTGCTGATTGATCTATGACTCGCTGTCCCTTTATTCTGAAGTAAATTTTTGAAGAATTAGTCTACTGTGTCTTCCTTATCCCATTTGTCTTTGATAAAAAGACATAAAGTCAATATTGATTTGAATTATGCTGTCCTGTTTTACGTTTGACTAGAGAGAGAGAGAGTGAATAGTTAGTCTCTAAAATTGAGAATATATAGGCATTATCGATCCATTTTAATAAACTGTGACCATATCGTATGACCTGATCAATTAGTCTCACTATGCACTAATAGTTAGTAATAATATATTGGGTTATTTTTATCAAATGACTGCTTTTCTTGTTTAATCCTATTCTTCGGAGAATTAAATCACTATGATCAGAACAAATAGGCTTGTAAATATCCCTTATATGAAGATTATATATATATATATATATGCGTCGGCGGCACAGCGGTAGAATGCTCACCGACCACACATGTGGTCTGAGGTTCCACCCCCGGCAGACGCACTCCTTTGCCTCGCTAAGCCAATAATAAGATTGGTAAAGAGGGGAGTTGGGATGCGGCTAGCAACCCCTTACCGAAAAAATAGACACCAATGCTACTGAAACTTCAAACCTTAAGATTGAAACCCTGTATTCTACTGGAAATCGTAAAGGAATAAAAATCTGATGCTCGCTAGTGACTTGCTACACGACGGAGTTTCCTGGAGTTCTAGTGAGAAGTCGTGACCAATGAGGTCCAACCAGTCAAGTGTCTGGGCATATAATTAGGAGTTAATTGGTGGATGGTGACTAGCAGTGGAATCCAGGATGAGCACTTCAATCCAATCAATCGAAGGGAAAATCTAAAATTGAATTAAGTAATTAGTATAACCCGTTGCACAAGAAATAGGTGGCTCTCGTGGCCCAAGTGGTCTAATGGATAACGCTTCGGTGTTTGAAACTATGGCACTGGATGTGAACCTCGGTGGGAACATCATCATTCACTCACTCACTGAGGAATGCAGACACATCCAGCTGACTAGTCCCTAATGGGACGAAATGCGCGTTGTCCTGGATTCCACTGCTGGTCACCATCCAACAATGGACTTCTTATCACCGAACTTTTTAAGAAACGGCAACAAAGAAATGACAGAATAATTTTCAGCAGGAAAACAACCAGTCAGAAGACGTTACATCTCTGCTAACGATAACGAATAGTAATGTACATAAAAATCTATAAATATCTGTTGATTTTCTCAATAAACGATCTATTGTCTGGCCCTTGTCTGCTGTCATTACAGTATGAGTCATGCTCACCTAAAAAGTTATCACATTACAGCACAGATGTAATCACTTTTCACATCGTGAAGTTTCAATATCATAGCACGCTCTTCAATTGTGTTTTTTTACCGCCTTTCTGCTGATGTTGTTCACTTGCATTACTTCAGTGTGTGAATATTGTTATGTCGAACTGTCAGTCTGTCTTCTTCTCCTTCTTCTTCTTGAAGCTCTATAATGATTCCTCGGCAACAATAATAGTATTATTCTTAGATAAAGCAATAAGAAGACTTAATTTGTCTGAATCGCGTGTAATGTATTTGCGCAACACATTTCAAACAATCTGATTACATACGGACTTGTCATAGGAATATAAATGAAATCAATAGAGTTAAGAGATGAGAAGATAGACTTAGGTCAAGTTAAAAGGATATATTCAAGGTCAAACTAACAATGAAGACTACTAAATCAAATAACAGAGGTAATAGTGTAACAACAGAAGACAAGGGCCAGGCAACAGATCGTTTTATTATGAAAATCAACACGTATTTATACATATTTCAACTACATTATTATAGACAAGCGCAGTCATCTGATTGGTTGTTTTTAGGTAGACAAACGCAGGCTTCTGATTGGTTGTTTCGGGGTTCCTTGACAAATAGAGTTCTCTATCTGCGAATCATATTTTGCCACGTTAACTTTGCTGTGATTGGTTGTTGACTCAGCCTTGTTCATATTTTCTCACGGCCCATATTAGTGACCTAGACCTTAACGTAGATTAGTGCCAACCAATCGGCTAGCAGCCTGCTCTCACCACACTCGTCCCCCCGTCAAATACGTGCGACTGAAGTCGGCTTGATCTACTTGGTGCAGGCGTCATCGTTGGCTTGTCTCGCTGTATCCATTTCTGGAGCTCGCTGACGTTCACGCGCCTCTCATTGTTCGCCATTGCGACTGTGTCTGCGTAACCCCATCTCGAAGTGACCATATATGATCCTTCCCACTTTGGAAACTGTTTGCCTGACCCTGTCGAACATTCGTCCATACTTCGGCCCACGCCTTCATATGCTGCTTTCGCCCGACCTCCCAGCAGCGTCTCAAGTAGCAGCTCCATCGCTGACAGATCTTGAACGCCACTCAACTGCGCAGAAGCCTTGAAGTCCTGCCCGAAGATCCATATGTCTCCATCAAAAACTGCAGGGTATAGGCTTTTCATTTGTCGGTAGGCAGCGACACCAAATGTAACAACAGAAGACAAGGGCCAGGCAACAGATCGTTTTATTATGAAAATCAACACGTATTTATACATATTTCAACTACATTATTATAGACAAGCGCAGTCATCTGATTGGTTGTTTTTAGGTAGACAAACGCAGGCTTCTGATTGGTTGTTTCGGGGTTCCTTGACAAATAGAGTTCTCTATCTGCGAATCATATTTTGCCACGTTAACTTTGCTGTGATTGGTTGTTGACTCAGCCTTGTTCATATTTTCTCACGGCCCATATTAGTGACCTAGACCTTAACGTAGATTAGTGCCAACCAATCGGCTAGCAGCCTGCTCTCACCACAATAGTACGTACATCCTTGACAGTTAAACTGAGTCAGGTAGGGAGATGCAGACTCCCGGGTTGGGGCCCTCGGGACTCTAGGAATCAATGGCTGCAGACAATAGGTGACATGGCTCAAAATCGTTGTCAATGACAGCGCAGATGTATTCAGTCTCTGTAATCTTTCATATTCCTTTCTACCATTACCCACTCTGTTTCACTCTTATATTTGTCAAACTCTATTAATTCTCTTCACTCATCTTCTTGTCCACCTCTGTGTGCTATTTGGAAGGTGGCAACCGGAACTGCTGCACTTCGGTGCCAAGTTCTATGTTGAATCCAGACAGACAGAGACAGACATCTGCTATGGTATCAAAACAAAGTTTACCCAGGGAAGGTTCAGTGTGATGACGAGTTACATCTTCCTACTGCTTTGTCTACATTCATAAAGGGAACCTAATTGTTTTAAAATATTATTCTTATTATTACTTTTGTTTGGTTAAATGATTACAGATGCACAATGTCCTGGTCTTACTCCACAAGAAATGGATCAATGCGTATGTACAGCTGATCGACTTGCTGAATGTTTATCCTCTCATTTAATCCACTTACGTGATCGATGGATAACATCTGGATCTGGATCTGGAGCAACAGTTTCGACGACAACAACAACTACTACACCAACAAAACCTTCAGCTGTTTCAAATAATCATAACCATTCTCAAGGTGCTACCTCACCAAGAAGTAAAATCCAGAATGATGTAAATATGAATGATGATGATGATGGGAATGTTGCTGAAAATCGTCGGTTAAAAAAAGATAAAGAAGAAAATAGTACAAAGTCGAGGCATATTGCGTCTAGTCAACAACAGTCATCAAGTGAAGAGGTGAATACCACTGCTGCGTCTTCTGCGTCTGTTAGCAGTACTAATACCGCAACAACAGGTGGTGGTTGTCTAGTTAAAGAATATCTTTTGAGGAAGAGAACTGCTTCAGATGACTTTGTAGATGTTCGGTATGTGTTGTTTATTATTATTATTATTATTATTATCGTTTTTTCCTCGACTTTTAATGACGTAGTTGGGGTTCTAACATATATAGTAATCCCCTCAGAAACTTGCAGTGAGTCGGGAAAATACAGTGTCAACAGCAGTTACTTGAGGATATTTTTTGAGAAACATTTGATTACTACTGGTTGAGATACTGCCCGGACAGCCAGACCGAAGTAGGTGGGATTGCCGTAATTGACCACTACCCCACCCCCTTCGAAGCCTTTTTACTTGGAGTGTTATCTACAAGGCAGTAGGAACTACATTCCCAGGGTCAACGGTGGCCAGAACAAGTGCATACTTCATTGGATAAGTTCAGATTCGGGAGTTGGAATCAGGTGTCTCTAGCTCCCCTAAGTCGATCTGGATTTCCTCCATCAGTCGGGTTGTAAGCGCTAGATTTTCGCATTTGTCCTCACACTTTTTTCTAGGAATACCCCTGCTGTGTGAAGGCAATGAATAAGCGGCAGAGGCTATGAATGCATGGTTACATGAGAGCATGTCGAGAGGAAGATCGAAGTCTACCCTTCTCCCCTGGCCGTAACTTACTGTTTATGAGGACATTATATGTACTGATATGTATGGTCTTTGTTGTGAAAAACTCTGTGTCACAATATCTGAGCATAGTAGACAGTGTATTAATTGACGAAAAGGAGTATTTCTCTTGACAGAGTTCAGTGGTAGAAGGAACACTTGCCAAGTACGCATATTATCCAGGGATCGATCCCCGGTCAATGGACGCATTCCTAAACCTCTCATAGCCGGCGGTAAGCCTGGCAGAGAGGTGAAGTTTTTGTGACAAAATAATACATCTTGATATAGTTGTGTTCTCTGAACTAGCAGAATGGGTTATTTGCGAAGCTTTCATTGCCCTACTAGGCAACATCTTCAGCGCATACTTCAATTCGAATTGAAGTTAGCTTTTAGATTTCTTCATGAGTTTATTAGTCATCTCTCCTGGGGGGTGACCTTGAATGTGATTGGTTGTTTTTGTGTGCTTTCACACCCTCTAGGCTTCTTGTATTGGTGTTGGTGTTGATTGTTTCCTTGATCTGAAGTTTTACCCTTTGTGTGTGTGTGTGTGATTTCCTTCTTATTGATTGGCAAATTTTGTCTTTGTCAGTGTGTCTGTTAATTGATGATTCACTGGAATACCAGGCTTCTAAAAATTCTCTGGCGCATTCTTGATGTTGTTTCCTCCGTCAAATATTCGAATGCTCTCGTAGTCGAATTGATTTCTGTGGTTGTCTGTATGCAATGATATGAGGGAGTGGATGTGATGTCTTTTGACGACTAGTTTATGTCCATGAATACGAAGACGAAGAGGACGTCCACATTGGTCATCGCCTTCCTCGAAGAGCAATGTTAGCTGACGGAGGATTAGTCTGGAAAAGATTTAGTGGTGTCGCCCCTTCGTTTTGGAGTGAGGTGGGGTTAGAAAGGGTTGACCCCAAAAATTGCACATTCTGACTTGCTCACAGTGGTCTGCAACCGAGGGGTAAGGTCTTTATACAGATGCAACTCCAAAAATAACTGAACAAGTTGTATATGTATGTATCCGTCCTCAGACAGTCGTTCCCAGGACTCTGTGGTCAGACAGGTACTCCACACACACACACTTCACACAGCTTCCTTGGTCCATTACCCACCTTCATCGTTTTGTTCTCCTCTCACTGTTAACAGTATTTCTTCACTTCGGTTCCTCACCCTCTTTTAACTCCATGTTTGTATAATCTCTATCCTTGTTTTCCTTTTTTCTCTCTCATAAACACAGTGTGGCAGTTGTAGGGAATGTTGATGCTGGGAAATCTACACTACTTGGCGTGTTGACACATGGTGAATTGGATAATGGTCGTGGTTTGGCACGTTTACGTCTACTGCGGCATAAACATGAAGCTGAAACTGGACGTACTAGTTCAGTGGCACATGATATACTTGGTTTTAATTCTATTGGTCAAGTGGTTAATAAACCAATGCATGGTCATTTAAATTGGTCGGAGATATGCGAAGCTTCAGCTAAAGTAAGTCTGGAAAGTACTAACTTACCTGACAAGTAACTAAACATTCTCTTTGATGATATCAGTACTGCTTACTGTAGTTTTGATGGTATGAGTGATATTTAACGTTTAAGGAAGGTATTTTAAGTCTTGTGGATTAATTTCACTTTTTATAACTGGTTTCTGAACTTAACTTCAGTGTCATATCCAAAGATATCTGAGGCTTTCATCTGTTTCAGTAATTATTCTCCGTTAGACAGGACATTATATCACTTACAGGTGGCAGGGATGATATGATGTCAACGCCAGTCGGGATCAGGATTTTCAACGTTAATGTCGGAGAAGAACCAGGCAGCAAAGGCAGGACTTCAAGATAATATAGAGAAGACAGAAGTGATGATAACCAACGCGGACGACGAGAACAACAACAAGCACGGATTGATATAAGAATAAAACTTGTGTGTCAGAACATAAGAATTTAGCTGAGGTAGAATGATTGATCCCACGAAGATTAGTAATTGTGAAAAAAAAGCTCAGCAATCGCAGTACATGCATTAACAAACAACCACACAATAGGGTGGGAGAGGGTTAAAATTCTAAAAAGTAATCTAGGTAGGTGGAGAACGAGAGAGGTTGATTACTGAATCTTTGTTAATCGAGTCTACACCAAACACATGCAATAGGAATGATTCATCATTCATACCTGAAATATGGAAAATACTACTACCAATGAAATCAAGTGAAAAACAATGGAACTATATAAATGAAGTTAGGAAGTCGTGTGATTGCCTTGATATGATCATGAGCAGCAATAATTTGTGCTCGAAAAGTTATCATCAGTTAATATTACTGTACAACACTGTATGATTTATCAAAATAAAATTTACCCATAATGGAACAAGCACGGATCACTATCAACGAAATAAATTTGAACGCTGTAGTTTCCTTCACTTATGTAGTCAGCATCGTCTCCACTTTAGTCTCCGGCAGGAATGAGCATGTCAAAACCAGAGAATCGATAAGGCAAGACAGACCGTCATCACTCCGAAATCAGTGTGGAAGCCTGGATGCACTCAGTATGGAGAATAAAATTCAGGTTTTCAACACCAATGTTAAATCAGTTACTTTTTATATAGGTCAGAAACTTGGTGCATCACAAACAGCATTTTGAATAGGCCTCAGACTTTTGTTAACAGCGCTGCTTTCGCTTTCCATACTGAAGATTAGGACTGCTGGGCACAAAGAATGAGGAGCAAGAAACTCTGGGACCCTAAACAACCATTGTGAGGAGATTGTTGGGTGATGTGTTCCACGCCAGGCATAACGTCGATTGCAAACCGAATGGAAAAAATGATGAGTTCTTCGTCATCCCTCCGAGGTGATATGGAGAAAACGAAAGCCTATGCAGAATCATAGGGACAGCAGAGAACAGGACTAAATGCAGATGTGTGATGTCGAAGCACACTGTTCCACTTGGAACCGAATGGAGATAATAATAATAATGTCAGGTTAGGACTTCTATATGATTCAGGGGCTTGGCGTGAGTGTTACACGAAGCATTTTCAACTAGCCGCTGTAGACCTTTTTCATCAACACCTCCTGCCCCTTTCTCTCGATACTGAGGATCGGATGACAGACCAGTAAGAATAAACAACAAGAAGCTCTGCCAATGAGGGAATCCGCCAAAAACTTTTTTTATTCCTTCACGTACCAGTGGAACATAGGGCTCCAAGCTAGACGCTTAAAGTTTCTGTGGCAGTGTTTATTTTTACAGGATTGGGTTGCTAGCCACCTCATGCCCAACCTTCTCTCTTTGCCAGTCCTATTACTGACTTAGCGAGGTAAAGGAGTACGTCGGCTGGGGATCGAACCACGGACCATGTGCATGGTCGGCGGGCGTCCTAACCACTGTGCCACCGACGCACACATGTATGTAGATCAGGAAGATAGTAATTCAGATAATGTGTCACGGACTTGATAGGTGATAAAATTTGTTTCTGAATCCTGGTAGGTATATAAATGCTTCTTCAGTAGGTGGTGACAGCCCAAGAAAACAAGAACTTAGTTCCTCCTAAGGAAATCTATACACTACGTACTACATGCAGAATATACCTTATATGTATTCTACTTATATTTTAAGACGTAGCAAAGGTGTTTGGACTGCATTAGGAATTGCTTTATATTGCTTTATAAATATGAAGAAAGAAGTAGGGAACGCATTGTTAATACGGTGTGGGCAGCCAGGAAGTAACAATCGCCCTCACAATCCGAAACGCACGCGAAACCTCTCTATTACTCACTCATCTTTGTCTTCATCTTCATCTCTATCATCTTGCCTTCCTTCCACTGATGCAACTCCTCGACTTGATAGCTCTCCACTTCCTCTCCACTCTGCGTCCACTAAAAACGATGGAAGCCAAAAAACCACCACCGACAGCCTCTTAAAGCCGCGCCACCAATTTCATATAGGAGCTCTTAATGTTAGGACACTTTGCCAAATAGGACAACAAGCATCACTAGCCAAGACCCTGGCATCACGAGCCATTGATGTATGCTGTGTTTCAGAAACACGCATACAAGACCCAAGTGTGGTTATTCACCTAACCCCACCTGGCCAACAGGTTGAATCTGCAAAATTCACCTTGAGGGTGTCAGGAGATGCCACAGCTAGTTCACGAGGATTAGCTGGCGTAGGGATAGCTTTGAGTACTAGGGCAGAAAAGACATTGCTTGACTGGATCCCGGTAGATAGCCGAATGTGTGCTGTCCGCCTGAACGGATCAGTAAGAAGGAGGAAGGACTGCACTACTCGCCGATGCCTTTTCGTAATCTCCGCCTACGCCCCCACTGACTGCAGTTCAGATGAAACGAAGGATGAGTTCTACCAAAAGCTGTCTAGTTTGGTGCGAAAGGCTAAACGCTCAGACATAGTCGTTCTAGCTGGTGACTTTAACGCTCAAGTAGGGAAATTGTGTCAATCTGAGAAGGATGTCGGTGGCACCTATGGAGTTCCGTGCCAGCGAACCGACAACGGTGACCGTCTCCTACAGTTCTGCTCTGATAATCATTTGTTTCTTGTAAGCACTAACTTCAAACACAAGGAGAGACACTGTTTGACTTGGAGACCCCCTTCATCAAACCAACGCTGGACACAAATAGACCACATAGCAATAAGCTATCGTTGGCGTGGGTCGGTAGGAGATTGTCGCTCCTTCTGGAACACGTGCGTAGATACCGACCATGCACTGGTCCGCGCTCGGGTGTGCTTACGACTGAACGGACGTAGGAAACAGCTGGCGGTAAAACCATCACGTCCCCAGCTCGATCAGGAAACTAAATCCGTATTTGAGGAAGAACTAGCTAAACACATATCTGTGTTCGACAGCTGTGCTCACCCTGAAGAAGCTTGGAAAAATATCCAGGCAGCCATAGATACAGCTGTAAAAGCTGTGAATAAGGTAAACCCAAAGGTGAGTAAAAACCACTGGATCTCCACCGCCTCATCCGAACTGATAGATGCTAGAAGACTTATTCCGGCGAGCTCCGAATTCAATGAGGAGCGAAAGCTGCACAAGAGGAAACTTACGAAAAGTCTCCGCAAGGACCGTGAACAGTGGTGGGCGACAAAAGCCAAAGAGATGGAGAAAGCTTTGAGGATAGGCAACACCAGGCAACTCTTTGGACTCATCAGGGAAACGGGTGGGAGAAGACAAATCATTAGTGAGACAATCTCGGAAAAAAATGGCACTATAATTAGCTCCCAGGATAGACGACTGGATCGTTGGAAAGAGCATTATGAGGAGCAGTTTAATTTGCCCACAGCCACGCTCAACCTTCCGAGCATCCAACACCTCCCTGAATGGGATATAAACACAGGTCCTCCGTCACTAACTGAGGTTACTAAAGCTGTCACCAATCTGAAACTAGGCAAAGCAGCGGGACCTGATGGAATGACTCCAGAGGTATTTAAGTACGGTGGAGACAGCTTACTGTCCGGATTAACTGAGGTACTAGGCAGCGTCTGGGAATCAGAAGAAGTCCCATCGGGTTGGTGTAAGTCACTGATTATCCCCATATACAAGAAGGGAGACAAGTCTTCCTGTGATAATCACAGAGGGATTAGCTTGACTAATATAGTATCTAAAGTCTTAGGCTCAATAATCATGCGTAGACTGAGTGGTGCTCGGGAAGCACAAACACGAGAGAGCCAGGCAGGCTTTAGACCAGGAAGAGGGTGTATTGATCATATCTTCACCCTCCGACAGATTCTAGAACATAGGCATTCCTACCGGCGTCCAACAGTCATTATATTTCTTGACCTAAAGGCAGCATTCGACTCTGTCGATCGGGAAGTTCTCTGGAGATGCTTGGCTGTAAAGGGAATTCCAAGAAAATATATTGCACTGATTAAGGCACTCTATTCGTACTCATACAGCCAGGTGAGGGCTTACGGCGAGCTGTCATCTGAACTGATGACGACCAGTGGTGTCCGTCAAGGATGCCCATTATCTCCTTTTCTATTCAACTTCATCATAGATGTGTTAATGGACTTAACCCTAGGTGACTTCAGCGACTCAGGGATTGACTTGCTACCGGGGGGAATAATCTCGTTGACTTGGAATATGCAGACGATATAGTCCTTCTAGGCGAAGACGCTGACGAAATGCAGAGTCTTCTAAACACCTTGAGCCGCAATCTACGAATGTTTGGCATGCGATTCGCTCCCGCCAAATGCAAGATGATGTTACAGGACTGGACTACATCGACGCCTAGTTTAAAAATAGGAAGTGAAGTGGTAGAGCACGTTGACCGCTTCACTTATTTGGGAAGTACCATCAGCCCCAACGGGCTGATCTCTGACGAAATCTCAGCACGAATACAAGGGGCTCGTTTCGCATTTGTTAGTTTACGCCGACTCTGGCGTAGACGAGATGTTCGACTATCGACCAAAGGGCGGGTGTACTGCTCATCAGTCCGCTCCGTCCTCCTTTATGGTTGTGAGACCTGGCCACTGAGAGTGGAAGACATGAAAAGACTAGCTGTCTTTGATCATAGGTGCCTGCGTTCTATTTCCCGTGTAAAGTGGCATAATAAGGTGAGCAACATGGAGGTTAGGCGTCTAGTTCTAGGTAAACAGGGGAAATCAATCGACGAAGTCGTGAAGCTACAAAGACTGAGATGGTTAGGACATGTGTTACGTATGCCAAGCCATCGCCTCCCTCGACGAGCAATGTTAGCGGATATAGGGTCAGGCTGGAAAAAAGCTAGCGGCGGTCAAACAAAAACTTGGCATCAGTCAATGAAATCCACAACAGTTGGTCTAAGCCACGTAGAAAGGTGTAGACTTCCAGGCTGGGGTCCTCGGGACGGTAAAAATCTATGGTTGGAAACAATTGGTGACATGGCTCAAAATCGTTCTCAGTGGCGCAGATGCATCCACTCCCTGTGACTTATGATCTTCAATGAAACTGTTTTGTTTTTCTTTATTACTCCTTTGTCTCACACCTCTGCTCACTGTTTCTATTATGCTTTTCTTGTACTTTCTTCTCTTGCTTCGCGTGCTACACGGAGTGTGGCGACTTGAACTTCCGCACATTTGTGCAAAGTTCTATGTCGAAAACAGACAGACAGACAGAGAAGACATCCCAGAAACATTACACGTCAGTACTCCGAGCTGAACTCTGTTGGGAAGCAAAGAGTTGGGTGTGGATCCGAGGATTACATGAAAAAAATCATACGAAAGCTTATAAGTAGCTGTAAAGCAGCTTAAAAGTGATGACAAATCCATGTGGATTTGGAATGTGAAGCTGTGTAATCTTATGCGCTGAACGAAACAAATTCATCGTTTGTTTGACATTCTAATAGTCAGCAATGAAATCTTCAACTCCCTTAATCATCTTACCTATATGTTGTGTTATGAAAAACATTGATTAAGTTTGGCATCAGTTTCTTAGTGAACCATCTGTTGTCTCTCTCTCAGGATTGCATTATGAGCTGACATCGATTAGACAGTCATTGGAAAACCAGCTGGGAGTACTAGACAGCCAGCTGTTTCGTCAGCCTAGTTTGGTACTCCTCACCAGTATGCACCAACCTCCAGGGTTCGAACCCAGGACCTTCCGGTTACAAGGTGAGTCACTGAAACCCGATCCAATAGCCAGTCTATGGATTCCAGCTTTTGCCGATTCCCCGATATAGCGCGACTGGCACTAGCCGTTGTCATCGGTGAGACGAGTATTTGTCTTCACATCTGACCTCTAGATTTCCCAAGACAACATGTTGCAGTGTATCTAAGGTGGTGGTCCACCAACTAAAGTGTAGCGATAATCATCTAATTGATACTAAGTTTTCTTTTACTGGCTATTTGTTTTGTCGTCATATTTCTTTTCTTTGTATTATATGTATATATCTATACTTATTCAACAGGTGATCACATTCATTGATCTAGCTGGTCATGAACGATACCTGAAGACAACTATCTTCGGTATGACTGGACATGCTCCTGATTATGTTATGTTTATGGTTGGTGCAAATGCAGGTGTCATTGGTATGGCTAAAGAACACTTGGGTTTAGCATTGGCGCTTTGTGTACCAGTATTTGTTGTTGTCACAAAAATTGACATGTGTCCACCGAATGTACTACACGAGACAATGAATTTATTATTTCGTATATTAAAGTCACCTGGTTGTAGAAAGATACCAGCGTTGATATCTTCAACGTGAGTAACTAGTATTCCTGTCTCAATAGTTAAACTGTTTTTTGTCAAATTTTCGCCTTTTCGTTATGTTGCTATAAATAAGGAATTGGTATCTCATGTGTGTTGAAGTTGTTGCTCTTTTGTCTTTCGTTTTTCAGCCAAATGGGGGTTCATGACTTCGAGTGCCACTCTATGCGTTTCAGCTTGATCATCTAAGGAGAGAGAGAGAGGTATCACCTTAGCCTTCACACAATAAGTGTGCCCTGATAGCTTGATAATTGACGAAAGATGCATTATGGGGTGATTGAGCAGATATATATCGATCCCTAAACAGACTGATAGTGTGTAACCTAAGGTTAAATTTTATTTTTGACGTTGTCACCCTTTCTGTTGTTGTTAATTTACAGTAGGCTGAATTAGTCAACTTCTCCTACCATATGAAAGTGTTCTTACGGGCAACTAACTCAATATACTGCCTATAGAGTTGTACGTCATATTATGGTTTACAAGGGAGATGTTTTTTCTGCATCTCTGCATTTCCCATGAATTGAAGAAGCCTAAAGATTATTGTATTTTTGTATTCTTCTTATGCGTTGAAATTTCTGTAATGGTCTGATTGATTTTTCGGAGTAGGGTCGTTAGGCCCACGCCAAACCCTACCATTTTTCTCAGGCTGGGGACCGGTTAGAAAACAAGCGAGCTAGTAAACTAGATGAGGTAAGTGAGAAGACAGGAATATGTTGGATCACCGATAAGGGAACGTTAGAAGACCTGGATTGGATTTCTCCGATGATTTATGTCGTTTAATGTCATACAGACTCCAAGACTTGCAGGCACAAACCAACAAGTTGACAGAGGAAGCAGCGAGGACAGGACTTCAAGTGAAAAATAGAGAATACAGAAGTGATGGAGATAACCAATCAGCCAACCAACAACAACCAGCACCAATCACTATCCACAAGAGAAGTTTGAAAGAGGTTACTTCCTTCACTTTTCTAGGAAGCATCGTTTCAATTAAAGGTAGACGGAACTGATGAATATGTCAACACCAGCAAAATCGGAAAGGCAGGATACATGTTCAACAATCTGAAATCAGTTTAGAAATCTTCTGCACTCACTCCGCAGCATAAAGAAAAAGATTCGGATGTTTAAAACTAATGTCAAGTAATCCGTCAGAATATCTGTATTGTTCAGAGACTTGGCATGTCGCCAAAAGCATTCGCAACAGACTGTAGTCTGCTTTCTCCTGATAATAAAGACCAGATGGTCAGTAAGAATAAACAACAGGGAATTTTAAGAATAAACTGGCGGAGAACCTATTACCCAACAAATATGCAGGAGATGGAAATGGATTGGACATAAGCTGAGAGGAATCGTTGAGTAAAAATCGTGCACCAGGTAAACTGTCGAGTGTAGCTCAAAAGGGAAACGAGGAGTTAGTTGGTCGTAGTTCCTAGGGTGATGATATGGATTGTTCCGTTTGCCTGTGGTTGAAACGATGCTTTCTGGATAGATGAAGAAAGTAACCTCTTTCCAATCTTTCTTGTGGATGGTGGTTGGTGATGGTTGTTGTTGTTGCTGTTGCTGTTCGTTCGTTGATTATCTTCATCGCCTCCGTCTTCCTCTATGTCCACCTGCAGTCCTGTCTTCGGTGTCTGCCACTTCAGCTAGTTTGTTGCACTTCGTCTGCAAGTCTTGGAGTCTGTGTCACATTAAACGACATAAACCATTGGGGGAAATCCAGATCTTCTAGAGTCTTCTTATCGGTGATTCAACATATTTTCGTCTAGATATGATAGAGAAGATTTGTAGCTCAGGTGGATGATTTTGATGGTTGCTTTTTGTGTGTTTTCACACTTTCTAGGTTACTTGTATTGGAACTGATTGTTTCTTTGACTTGGCCTTTGAGCCTTTGTGTGTGAGGTTTCTTTCTTATCGGTTGATAAATTTTGTCTATCTCAATGTGTCTATTGATGGATGATACACTGGAATACCAGTCAGGCTTCTAAAAATTCTCTAGCATTCTTGTTGTTTTCTCTGTCTAATATTCGGACGCTGGTTGTCCCAGTCGAATTGATGTCTGTGGTTGTCTGTATGTAGTGAAATGAGGGAGTGAATGTCATGTCTTTTGACGGCTAGCTTATGTTCGTGGATACGAAGACGAAGGGGACGTCCGCTCTGGCCAGTGTAGTGTTTTTCGTAGTTGTTACAATTTATTTTGTAGATGATGTTGGTTTTATCTTCTTTCGCTGTTGAGTCTTTTGGTTGACATAGAACTGAGTGAAGTGACTTTGTTAGTTTGTGTACAACGTCAATTCCTAAAGGTTTGAAGAGTCTTGTATTGATTTCTGAGATGTCCTCTATATATAGTTAGGCGATTTTCTTTGTGCTTTCCATACCATATATAAAGGACATCTCAGAAATCAATACAAGACTCTTCAAACCTTTTGGAATTGACGTCGTACACAAACTAACAAAGTCACTTCACTCACTTCTATGTCGGTGAATTATGAGAACTTGAACACTGACAAACTTTTTGATGCAAACTTCTATGTATGTTGAATTCATTGAGACCACCGCTAGCTCTCTTCCAACCTGATTGTATGTCAGCTAAAATTTCCCATAGAGAAAGGCGATGGCTAGACATGCACGACATATATCCTAACCATCTCAATCGACGTAGCTTGACAACCTCATTTATTGACTTCCCCTCCTTTCCTAACCTCAGTATTACTCTCACCATAATATACCACTTAACATGGGAGATGGAACACAAATGTCTATGGTCAAACATAGCTACCATTCTCACCTCTTCTACTTCCAATGATCATGTCTCATAGCCGTAATGAGAAACAGGAACATACATCGTTTGGTCGATAGCCAGTCGGATATCATTTTTACAAGTTGACAAATGTCCACACGGGGTTTTTATATCCTTGCTGTGATTTCGTCATGACTTCACTCCTTATCTCTAAGCTAATAGTTGGTGCGCAGTCCAGACCTGCAGCATCATCAGCCTATATTGGACGAGAATGAATAGCATGTTAAACATTTGAAGGCGAAGTTCAACAATAGCGTTCCAGGAGTGCGAACGCTCAAATGACGTTGAACGCTTGTTAGTCGTTGGTTAAGGAAACTTACGATTATTCTAGCGCAAAAATGAACGCCGTTCACCTGTTCAGGTGCAAATTTCGTCTAGATCACATATTTCAATACTGTCTGGATAATTGACTAATAGGACGTTATCGTATATGTTGCTGTAGTGCTTCAATGAACCTGCAACCGTATTCCCATGTCACTGATGGGTATATATTTAGATATATGGAGTGTAGGAGACGAATAAGTGTTCATACTGGTAAGTGACACTCTCATTTAATTGTCTTCTAGAAACTTTCTTTGCTAAATCAAAACTTTCTTTGACGAATATACTGTTTCTATGCCATTACTGGATTTTGAAGTCCGGTGTGAGGTCAACTGCCGCTCAAACAGATAATACGTTGACGTCTACTGTGCAGTGGTTCCGATTTTGTTGAGATTTAGCATCATGGAGAATGAACAGTATTACACAAGTGTTGGGAGAAGTCGGTGTTGTCGTTCATATCAACGAAACGGTGCTTATAAAGAAGAAATACAATCGGTGACGTGCTAGAGCTAATAACGTTTGGGTATTGGGAATTTATGACACCCAAATTCTGAAAGGATTTATTGAACTTATTCCAGACAGAGGAGTGCTGACCCTCTTCTGCCTATTATTCAGAGACTCGTTTTGCCTGGCACTAGCATACACGCAGATGAATGGGCAGGATATAACCGTTTATCCGATTTGGGATATATACACCACCGAGTTAACCATTCTAATGATTTTGTCGATCCTAGGACCGGTACTCATACTAATTCGATAGAAGGTTTCTGAGGAAGATTGAAAAATAGAATAAGAGCAATAAATGGCTCTTAAAACCAGGTTATTTTTAGTCATCTGGATGAATACATGTATAGGAATTAGTTTAATTTAAAAACTGACACTCCCCATCATAAATGAGACATATTTATATCTTATATTAGAGAAAAATACCCTGTTTAGTGTTCTTTCATGCTTTTTTAATGTAAATGTACGTAATTTTTTTGTGCAAAAATCCCTCATTTTCCTGATTGGTCGACTCAAGGTCACTCGTGCATTCACATCCCCTGGGACGCTGTTGTAGAACTTGGCCCATTTGTAGATTTCTGCTCAAGGTGTTCATAAGACTCTGCATTTTATCAACAACATCTTCACCCTAGGAGAACAATATATTATCCGCATACTCTAAGTTGATGAGACTGTTCTCTGGCGTTAAGTCAATCCCTGAGTCGTTCGAATCAATCAGTTAGGGCCAATTCTATTAGTGTACATCTGTGCTGGAATTAAACGCGTTTTGATGTTTTCATTTTTAATTTTTAACTTACTTTTTTTGTACATTCCTGTGTCTCATTCGTTTCTATCTCTCCCAAACATTCATGTCCACTGAAAACACGTGAACCCAAACGGCAACCATAGTGATGATGTGATCTGTTGTGCAACAAATTTCACCTCAGAACGTATGTGTCCAATATTCCCTGTTTCAAATGTCAATGGAACGAATTTAGACCTATTGAAATTATTTCTCAATCTCTTACCATCACGTTCTGAGCCAAGATTGAATGAACCAGCACACTTTCAAGTTGATGAAATATTTTCAGTTCAAGGTGTTGGTACAGTAATATCTGGCACTTGTCTGTCTGGTGTTATACGCTTAAATGACACACTATTACTTGGTCCAGATTTATCCGGTCAATTCAATCCTGTATCAATTAAAAGTATTCAACGGAAACGTTTATCAGTGAATTATGTTCGTGGTGGTCAGACGGCGTCGTTTGCTTTGAAGAAGTTACGACGTAATCAAGTCAGAAAGGTAGGTAGGTAGGTGATGGTGTGCTGTAGTGTGGTGTCCACACCTGTTTCTTGTCTCTTATAATCTGATACTAGTGGATGTAACAGTGGTATTCAAGACATGAGTTCTGTCCTATTTAGGACTCGTCATCTGGATATACCTGTATGCCAATGAACTTTAAAGCCCACCACGCATCAATCTTAAAGGGACGTTGTTGGTCCTCGAGATAGGAGATGACATGTTAACACACAGACCGAGCGTTTCGATCCCGACACAAAGTTAATCAACACCAGATTTAAAATAATAATTTCAATAAATTTCCTGTTCTCTAATTGATGTCAGCTCATGATGAAATCCTTTAACCAATCAAACGTAATCCTTACAAAATAAATACTTAAAAATCAGTCTGATGCCCACTAGCCACTGGTCCTATTCAGACAGTAACCTGGGGTTCTAGTGGTAAGGCATGACCAGTAGGGTATAGCCGGTTGAAGGTGAGGATGAATTGGCAGAAGTTGGAATTCATGGGCTGTTCATTGGTTTAGGTTCCAAGTGGCTTAATAGTCTACGAGATGGCTCGTCTTGTAACCAGAAGGCTCTAGGTTCAGATCCCTGTGGTGGTGGGTGCGTGCTGTTGAGACGGAGTCCGAAACTAGGCTGATGAAGCGCAAAGACTAAGTTTGTTTATTGTATTTTTCTTGTGTTTTAAGGTTTCCGCCATAAGTGGATTGATTTTACGGCGGGGTAAGGTCGCGCTAACCTCATGCCCAATGTTTCCTCTTTTTCCCTGGACGTATGAAAGAGTAGAAAACTAGTAAACTAGGCAATGTGTAGCACTGGGACGCTCTCAGCCCACAGTTGACAAGGTGCTCAAAGATAGAACTGTTAGTATTCTTCTCTACTCCTCTGACTAACCAGACTGGAGAGTGTTGTAAAATACATTTACGGACTTGACACTGTGTATGGCTAATATATATTCTTTTGGTCTACAGGAATAAGTATTTTATTGTATTTAAACACAAAAAACTTGGTACACTATTGAACCAAAAATATACGCCACACGATAATAATTAAAAAAAACATGAGATTAAAAAGTAAAAAATATAGGTAGAGAACAGACAAACTACTTCATCTGGGAAGAAAGCATTCATTTTTTTGACAAGTTCAAACCGCATTCGTCAATTATTGTTGAAAAGGGAAGAAAGAAGAAAATTGTAGCACGTTTGCCACTGACAACTGCGATTCTTGTCCATATCCATTAACCTGTCGAGCTATATCTCGGATGCGAACCAGGAGTCGTGACGCACCAACCGATACTAATCTAGCACAAATATTCTTCACTCTACGACGCCACGTCATGGGTTGACCATCTCTCCTCTTCTTCCATCCCGCCCAAGAGCTGGCGAATAGAAACCTGTACGGAAGCATCTCGGATGATATTCGCAGCACATATCCAACCACGGAAGCCGGTGTTTTCAGATGACGACATTCAACGAATGGTGATCTCTACTGTGTCCGAACACTCACCGCCCATGATGCCATCGAACACAGCGATGGTCGAATACGCAGAGTTGCCACACATCCTCAGCTTGGAGAGGGCTAAGTTTCACAGGCGTAGAGCAAGACAGCATGCATCGAAGCATTGTAAACCCGACCTTTGAGAGTCGGGTTAACTCCACTACGGTGCCAGGGATAAGTAAATTGGCTATCACACATTGACGCGTGGTCAGAAGCGGTTGTTTTGTCTTTAACGCATGACTAGATTAACTGTATGTTGGAGATTCGTAAGGCGGTTTCTAAGAATTTCTACTTCAATGTGACCTTTGAACTTCAGGTTTATAAAAAGAGTTGAAACCTTCAGTTTCCTCTCATGTTTCTGTCAATAAATCCATGTGGATAATCCTATTTTCAAAGTTTTTTTATTAGTAGTCTCGGGAACCTATTTCATCAGTGCAAACATATGACTTTCAACCAATAGGGTTGTCAACTCCGTCATCTTACGTGCAATCAGGTATTGAATACCATTAGTCTTTCAGGTTATTGATAACAATATTGTATAAAATCATGCAATCGGATGCTCTACCACCGAGCTATTAAAGCAAGGATCGGGAAAGCAAGACAAGCTCTCATTACTCTCAAATCTGTGTGGAGGTCAACAGCACTACTCAGCATCAAAAATACGATCCGGATTGTCAATTCCAATGTGAAGTCAGTGCTACTATACGGATCAGAGACTTGGCCAGCGCGTCATAAAGAGCATCTCAAACAAACTACAGACCTTCGTCAACAGCTGCCTTCGCTTAATACTCAAGATCAGATGGCCGGCCAGAAAAGATCAGCAACAGAGATCTCTGGGAGCGAACCAACCAGGAGTCGATTGTGCAACAAATAGGCAGGAAGAAATGGAGGTGGATTGGGTGGCCATATTCTGAGGAAACCATCAAGTGACATCACTAGACAAGCCATCGAGTGGAACCTGAAAGTAAAGCGGCGAGTTGGTCGTTCAAGAGTGACTTGGAGGAGGTGATACGAAGGGGAGATGAAAGCATGTGGGCAGACCTGGAAGCAGGTGAAAACTTTAGCAGAGAACCGAACGCAATGGAGACATGCAGCTGAAGCCCTATGTTCCTCCTCTAGGAACTAAAGGAAATAGTAATAATAATGAGGTCATGTAAAAGACTACATTTGTTACATGGCTAGAGACAATCGACAGAAAGCGTGGATCTTAGGTTTCATACCTTGGTGGCACTCACCAGTCAGCAAGTATCTGAAGTCATGAAGAGACGACTTGTATCCCTTCTCTCAGATTCAAACACAGTGCTTCAATCAGAGACATGATCCTCCACGTTTGCAGATATGCCTTGTTGACTGATGAGTACTAACAAGCACAAAACCTAAAAGTCCTGGCAAGGCTTCCTGTGCCACCGACTGCCTCCAACCATCTAATAACAACAATTCAAAGTGCATCGTGATAGCCAGCCCCCTTATCTCATGGTGGTGTAGCCATATTGGAAAATTGACTTTGATAGAATTCAGTCTGTATCAAACGAATGACCAGGTACACGATATTAGTTACAATGCCTTAGTGTCTAATCAAACAATTTACGCGATGTTTAAGTATGAGCCTGCAAAAAGGATTGTGTTTCCGCGGATTATATATATATAATTTTTATAATGGCGTTTTTAAACTTCATTTAAATGTCATTCCACTTTCATTTATATTCAATAATAATGAAATTACAACTCCCCATATACATTGGTCTATCCATCTATATCTAGGGTATGGTGTTATTGGCTCCAGAATTGAAACCGAAAGCGTGTATTGAATTCATTGCTGAAGTATTGATATTACATCATCCCACGACTATATCTGTTGGTTATCAAGCTATGGTACACGCTGGTCCTGTACGTCAAACAGCTACTATCTTAAAACTGAATACACATGAACGCCTACGTACTGGAGATAAAGATATGGTTGTTTTTCGATTTATCAAATGTCCAGAATTCCTATACACAGGTTTACGCTTAATATTTCGTGAAGGGAAAACAAAAGCTGTGGGTAAGTTGAAAAGAATAAAAGTGGATGTTTTAGTTTGGTTTTATGACTCTGTATGTGTGTGTGTGTTATTTTCTGATGAATTGTCAGTCATCTGTGTGGTATTATAGCCTGTCACGAGCTGACAGACTAACCTGTCTGGGTTTCAAGGTTTTCAGCTTTCTTAAAGTTCCAGTAGCATTGGTGTTTCTTTTCACTACGGGATCGGGTTACTAGCCACACTCACGCCCAACCTTCCTTCTTTAGTGCCCTTGCGTACCAGCCGCCATCTCTGGGGAAAACGTGGTATCCGACTGGCTGTCGACCATGGGACTCTCGCCGACCATGCACATGGTCCGGGGTTCGATCCCCTGTCGACGCACACCTGATATCAATTGGTCGGCCTGCAAAATTTTGGGCTACCGATATCACATGGTGAAAATTCCATACTTGTACGAAAAAGTACGGTGTGGAATCAAGCTAGGATCAAAAATAAGAGATTAAAATATGGCGTATATACTGCTCAGCAGTCCGCTTCGACTATCGACCAAAGGGCGGGTGTACTGCTCATCAGTCCGCTCCGTCCTCCTTTATGGTTGTGAGACCTGGCCACTGAGAGTGGAAGACATGAAAAGACTAGCTGTCTTTGATCATAGGTGCCTGCGTTCTATTTCCCGTGTAAAGTGGCATAATAAGGTGAGCAACATGGAGGTTAGGCGTAGAGTTCTAGGTAAACAGGGGAAATCAATCGACGAAGTCGTGAAGCTACAAAGACTGAGATGGTTAGGACATGTGTTACGTATGCCAAGTCATCGCCTCCCTCGACGAGCTATGTTAGCGGATATAGGGTCAGGCTGGAAAAAAGCTATCGGCGGCCAAACAAAAACTTGGCATCAGTCAATGAAATCCACAACAGTTGGTCTTAGCCACGTAGGAAGGTGTAGACTTCCAGGCTGGGGTCCTCGGGACGGTAAAAATCTATGGTTGGAAACAATTGGTGACATGGCTCAAAATCGTTCTCAGTGGCGCAGATGCATCCACTCCCTGTGACTTATAATCTTCAATGAAATTGTTTTGTATTTCTTTATTACTCCTTTGTCTCACACCTCTGCTCACTGTTTCTATTATGCTTTTCTTGTACTTTCTTCTCTTGCTTCGCGTGCTACACGGAGTGTGGCGACTTGAACTTCCGCACATTTGTGCAAAGTTCTATGTCGAAAACAGACAGACAGACAGTCCGCTTCGTCCTCCTTTATGGCTTGCTGTGAGACATAACCATTGAAAGTGGAAGACATGAAAAGCCGGGCTAGCTGTCTTTGATCATAGGTGCCTGCGTTCTATCTCCTGCGCAAAATGGTATAAAAGGGTGAGCAATACTGAGGTTAATTATCGGTCGAGTGCTAGGTAAGTGTAGGGGGGGAAATCAATAGACGAGGCTGTGAAGTTGCATCGATTGAGATGGTTAGGACATGTGTTACGCATGCATGCCTAGCCATCGCCTCCCTCCACAATGGGCAATGTTAGCTGACATTGGATGGATCAGGTTGGAAAAGAGTTAGCCATTGGTGGTCAAACCAAAACATGACTGGCTTCATCAGTCAATGAGATCCACAACAGTTAGTTTAAGCCAGCCACGTAGGAAGGTGTAGACTTCCTGACTGGTTGGTTGGAATGCTTGAGAGATGGTAAACATCAATGAAGGCTGGAGACAATTGATGATATGGTTGGTTAAAAATCGTTCTCAGTGATTGCTGGTGCAGATGCATTCACTCTTTGTGGTTTATAATATCCAATAAAATTCTATTGTTCTTCTCTCACTCGCACTTCTGTTTGTTATCCGTCCTATGAATTTCTCTTTACTCTCTTTTCTTGCTTTGTGTGCTACAATAAGGTGGTGTGTGTGGCAAATGGAACTGCTGCACATATGTGCAAAGTTCTATGTTGAAACTAGTCAGTCAACTACAAGGTCTAATGAGTGCGTCTACCGGGAGTCGAACCTCAGAGCACTTGAAGCGTGGTTACTGTGTTTCTTCTACCACTCATCTTCCGATGCTCGTTAAGTGATATAAATAATCTTTTAAGTTGTCGCGTGTTTTTTTTTGATTGACTGACCCCACCATACATTATCGTTTACCTCTTTTTTTTTATTACTTTTATTGTCATAACCTAGAAACAGTATTTGACCCACAGACAGTTATAGCGTTTGTATCTAAGGCTGATTCAGGATGACAGCTTTTAAGATTCCATTTAATATGATAGTAATAATAATAATAATAATAATGTTGGTTGTGTGCAGCTGTTTGGCATTTGATATTCAGCCAGTCGAACTCCCTGGCTTGGAGAAATCTCTCACTACTACTTACCTTCGAAATTTTGAACCACTAGGTAGTTTCCTTAACGTCTTACTTATGCAGAAATGTGTAGTTTATATATATATACCTCGTTAAAGTTAGACCTATTATATTACTACTGACTTGTAATTAAACTGACGTGAGTGGAATGCAAAGATTAGCCATGGACTACAACCTGGTCAAATAATGTAAAATAACTGCTGTCGTTTGGCATATGAAACTCCTTGCTGTCTGTCTGGATTCAACATAGAACTTGGCACCGAAGTGCAGCAGTTCGAGTTGCCACGTTCCAAATAGCACACACAAAGGTAGACAAGAAGATGAGTGAAGAGAATCAATACAGTCTGACAAGTATAAGAGCGAAACAGAATGGGTAATGGTAGAAAGAAATATGAGAGATTACAGAGACTAAATACATCTGCGCCAGTCATTGAGAACGATTTTGAGCCATATCACCAATTGTCTCCAGCCTTCATTGGTTTTTATCGTCCCGAGGACCACAGCCAAGAAGCCACTTTACACTTTCCTTCGTGGTTGGCTAAAACTAGCTGTTGTGGATTTCATTGACTGATGAAGCCAGCTATGTTTTGGTTTGACTACCACTAGCTCTTTTCCAAGCTGACCCTATGTCAGCTAACACTTCCCATCAGTCGAGGAAGGCGACGCTCAGGAATTCATACGTAACACATGTCTTAATCATCTCAATCAATGTTGCTTCACAACCACGTAGATTGATTTCACCCCGTCTCCTTACCTAGCACTCACTCGACCGATGCCTAACCTCAAGATTACTCACCCCATATAGACCATCTAACACGAGAGATAAAACTCAGACATCGATGATCAATGACAGGTAGCCAGGCTTTTTATATTTTCCGCTTTCAATGGCTATGTCTCATAGCAAGCCATGAAGGAGGACGAAACGGACTGCTGAGGAGTACACCCGCCCCGTGGTCGATAGCCGGATATCACGTCTACTAAACCAGCCAGAGACGGCGTAAACTGGCATATGCGAAACTAGCCCTCTGTATCCGTGCGGAGATTTCGTCGGAGATCAACCTGTAGGGGCTGATGATACTTCCCAACGTCAACGTATTCACCAACTAGTTACTCTTTTTGGAGCAGATCCCTCAATATCGTTCTACTTGATTGTCTTTGGTGTGAGATATGAAAGTTAATGAAAGGTATATTTGATCTTCAGGTGTTTTACGCCAATCTATTCTACTAGATAAATCAATGTCATCGATCAGTATTTTGTTCTCACACACTCCACTCCTCTCTATCTGGTGAACTCCACTCCAACAGTCACAACTTCTCACTAGAATTGTGTTGTAGTTGATTCTGGTCCCATTGACTGAATGGTCGACGAGTTCGCCTAAAATGCCTGGATTCCATCCTTGGTGAGGTCATAGGTGCGTACTGCTGAAGTGTCCCAGAAAGGGGTGAAATAGCTGTACACTACTCTCTCTGGTTTTCAATGGTTCTCTGACTGATATCAATCCGTGGTCAAACTCGTAAAAACAAACAGAGTAACAGAAGTGATTATAATTCACGACATCATTTATGCATTACAGTCAAAGTTCGTAAATATATAGTGCTTTATTATCTGGTGACCAGCATAACAGGCTACACCTCTACTTCTCCCCATTGATCCGAGCAAGTCGTTACATGCCTAAATAAACTGACAGAATTCAGTCTGCACCAAAGAAAAGACTGGACACATCACACTAGTTACCAGTGTCCACTACAGTCCTACAGGAGGTCAATCGTGAGTCCGAATAGCTCAGTGGTAACGTCTCTGACTGAGTGGCTCACTGGGTGACGTGATTTCGAATCTCAGAAGGGACATGAGTTCCTTCAAGGCTGCAGATATTCCTTGCTGATGAGTGCCAACTAGCACGAAACCTGGGTCATTCAAGGTTTCCTGTGGCCGATCGCCTCTAACCATCTAATATCATCAAATCAATGTGCACCATGGTGGTAAGCTACCTAAAATGGTGAACACATTGGAAACCTGACTGACAGAATTCCGTCTCCACCAAAGAAAGGACTAAACACATCACACTAGTTACTAGTGTCCAATCAAATACATGCTTTGGTTATTGAGAACGTTAAAGACAGAGATAACAACACTAGGTATACATCACAAACACGTGAACACATTTTTGATGTGGTTGTGTTCTCTAAGCTGGATGGTTAATTAGTTAATTAGCTTTCATCGCCCCACTAGGCGACATCTTTCAGCGTATACTTCGATTTGAATTGAAGTGAGCTTTTAGATTTCTCCACGAGTTTACTAATCGTCTCTCCTGGTGGGTGGGTGATCTTGGACATGATTGGTCGTTTATGTGTGTTTTCACACCTTCCAGGTTATTTGTATTGGAACTGATTGTTTCTTTAAGTTGAACTTTGACCCTTTGTGTGTGAGGTTTCTTTCTTATCGGTTGATAAATTTTGTCTATCTCGATGTGTCTATTGAGTGATGATTCACTGGAATACCAGTCAGGCTTCTAAAAATTCTCTAGCATTCTTGTTGTTCCCTCTGTCTAATATTTGAACGTTGGTTGTCCCAGTCGAACTGATGTCCATGGTTGTCTGTTTGCAGCGAGTGATATGAGGGAGTGGATATCATGTCTTTTGACGGCTAGCTTATATTCGTGGATACGAAGACGAAGGGGACGTCCACTCTGGCCAGTGTAGTGTTTTTCGTAGTTGTTACAATTTATTTTGTAGATGATGTTGGTTTTATCTTCTTTCGCTGTTGAGTCTTTTGGTTGACATAGAACTGAGTGAAGTGACTTTGTTAGTTTGTGTACGACGTCAATTCCAAAAGGTTTGAAGAGTCTTGTATTGATTTCTGAGATGTCCTTTATATATGGTATGGAAAGCACAAAGAAAATCGCCTAACCATATATAAAGGACATCTCAGAAATCAATACAAGACTCTTCAAACCTTTAGGAATTGACGTTGTACACAAACTAACAAAGTCACTTCACTCAGTTCTATGTCAACCAAAAGACTCAACAGCGAAAGAAGATAAAACCAACATCATCTACAAAATAAATTGTAACAACTACGAAAAACACTACACTGGCCAGAGTGGACGTCCCCTTCGTCTTCGTATCCACGAACATAAGCTAGCCGTCAAAAGACATGACATTCACTCCCTCATTTCACCACATACAGACAACCACAGACATCAATTCGACTGGGACAACCAGCGTCCGAATATTAGACAGAGGAAACAATAAGAATGCTAGAGAATTTTTAGAAGCCTGACTGGTATTCCAGTGTATCATCAATCAATAGACACATCGAGATAGACAAAATTTATTAACCGATAAGAAAGAAACCTCACACACAAAGGCTCAAAGGCCAAGTCAAAGAAACAATCAGTTCCAATACAAGTAACCTAGAAAGTGTGAAAACACACAAAAAGCAACCAATCACGTCCAAGGTTACCCACCAGGAGAGATGACTAATAAACTACTCGTGTAGAGATCTAAAAGCTCACTTCAATTAAAATTGAAGTATGCGCTGAAAGAAGATGTCGCCTAGTAGGGCGATAAAACCTTCGCAAATTAAGTATCCGGCTAGCTCAGAGAACACAACCACATCAAAATCATCCACCTGAGTTACAAATCTTCTCTATATCATACGCGAACACGTAAATAAATATTATGATTATATATTTTTTTAGATAGTCTTCTGTAAAATTACATTGTAACTTCATTTCTAGGCAATACGTTCAGAATACAGTTTTAAGTTGGTCTTCGTCAGTTATTTCACTGAAGTTGTTTGTTAGAGAAATATATAACACAGATGTCATGTTGAAACCTGTTAATTACTTCTCTGTAAATAACCATACCACACCTCTTCTTGTATAATTTCATCTTTAATCTTTCTCTCTCTTTTGTTGATTTAGGTACAGTTAAAGAACTTGTCCCGTATACAGCTCCAATTCAACAAAATCCACGTACACGAATGTTCCGAAAGTATCCTTTCAAAGCAACTCAACCAACCGGTACAACAGAGGATACAAAAATTCAGTCTACAGGTGTTAGTAGTAGTTGTGCATCAACTGCTAAATCCTCAGAACAGACTAATTCAACTAGTCATGATTTTCCTAGTACTCCAATATCTGATCTATTGAGTAATAATAATAATACTAACTCGTCTTCGAATGCTTCAAAACAACGTAAACATCATCATCGTACACGTAAGGAGATATCGAATGATACAAATTCAGCTGGCGGCTGTGGTACTGGTACTCAACAATCCGCCAAATCAAATTAGTAGCAGCAGCAGTTAATTTGGCAGTAGTCGTAGCAGCTCTTCTCTCTCTGCAGTTATGCATATATTATAATGTTCATCAATCTTGAAGGAGTATTCTACACACAAGCCTTTAGTGTTAAACGATAACTCTTCCACCGCTCGGTTCTTCTTCTTCTTCTCTCTTGTCATAGCTAATTGAAGTAGTGAGGTCTTGTATACTACTAAGCTGAATATGTACGTGTGTGTGTGTGTTTGTGCAGCAGGTTTTGGATATCCTCCCCATCCACCCCTCCAACTCCATTGCAGTTGTTATAAATACATATATATTTGTTTACTTTTTGAATTAACTACTTATAATCAATTAAAGTAGTTTATTTTTCTTCATTTCAATTGTTGTTGTGTTAAAGTATTAACTGCTTTCTTCTTGGTTAGTTCATTTCACTTTACCTTTCATCATTTCTGTTGGGCTCTGCTTTAAAATCATTGTTAAAATTACCTGGTTATATCACTTATTAAACATGTGTATCTTTATTTTCTTTTGATACTCGAAATTCTGTTTTTGTGTCATTGTTCTGACTCCTCACATAACTAACTACTTGGTTTGCTCACATGTTCTTTGTGTGAGTGTGTGTCTGTTTGTCTGCCGTTCATATGAGCATACACAATTTTCACAAACAGACTTTTTGTTGTTTCATCTTTCCCTGCCAAGTTAATAATCATAAGAATAATAATAATGCCTTATTGCTGTACCGCGAAAAAGGAAGTTATATCTACTGTCACCCCACCCTACCCTTCTGTGTGTATGTGTGTGTAATTGTTTGTGTACATATGTAAAGAATTGAAATATTCTTGCATTATATACATATTTTTTTCTTTTTTGAGAAAATTATCTGAGAAAATAATAATAATAATAAAAAAAGCTCAGTCACTGTTTCTGTTTTCACACCAATCCGGTTTCTCCACAGTTTAGCTTTCAAAAACGTGCACATATATACGGATCCTAGAATCCTCCACGATCTGTGATGACATATTTGTTTTGTTTTCCGTCGAAGTACTCCTTCCTTGGGCTTTTAGGTTTTAACTCCTTCTCCTCCTCCTCCTGCTGAGTAGGAGTGAATTTCTGGATGCTGTCACTAAGATTTCGAGTAGTGTGAAAGCCAATTTCAAATAAACGAGTCTTATTAGTAGTCTTTATGGCTTATTGTTTACTAATATCCTAGTTGCGCTCATTCAAATCGGAGTATTTTACGCGGAGGGGGTAGTGGTGTGCGGCATACCAATATTATTGCTCACTCTATTTCTGCCATTCTTCATTTGTGCATAGTCCGTGGATATTTTAGACTTTTTGAGGCTTTCTTCCCTGTCGTCAACTTCAACTTTTTATCATCATTTATACTCGGTAAGATGGTGATCAATTTTGTAGCTGGATTGTTTGTATTCACCTCAGAATATTCTAGTACTGCATTCCTGTTGTCAATTGGTATGATTTTATTTGATGATCGCATCTTGTAAAGTACTCTTTGAGTTGGTAGAATATTTCTCTTTTGAGTATATATCCTATGCGGTATGTGCAAGTGTTCAAAATTCTTTATTGAGTGTACAATAACATCTTTCATGTTTTGTTTTTGTTCAATCGATTTGTTAATCATCAATGGCGGTAGATTCGAATGCGGCAACTTAAGATTTAGCGGTATTTGATGGTCATATCTCTTCCCTATCTGATCAACTGATTTCTGTGTATCATTCTGTTGACATTTCATTTCATCATAATATCTAGTGGATTCACATTCTTCTAGTCGGGTTAATAACTCTAAACGTTTCAATGTGATTAACTGATCAAGAAATTGTTCTTCGTCTTGTTCAAAAATACTTCTTACATGTAATCCTCTAGAGATGAGTAGATCACCTTTCCAATCTATGCCTTGTAAGATTATATCCGTTAAAGACGGCGACTTTTTCAGTTTATTCTGTGCATTGATTGTAGCCGGTTGATTTTGATCACCATGAGGATGATAATAATAGTTTATTGGTATGCTTTTTGAAAGTTTTCGTGTCAAAGTGTTAACAGGGTCAGGAATAAATTAGTTTTCTTATTATTAGTAGTATTACTATTACTACTACCACTATTATTTTTATTATCTTCGTTATGATCTTGATTTCTCGTAGATTCTTCACTTTCATTCATGTTTTCTTCTTCATAAGTCCATATGATTAAATCATCGAGGTTATTATCAACATCTCCGTTGTTGGGATATGTGTAGAGTCGATACGCGGCAGCAGCATACATTTTTACCAACTTTTCTGGTGTATTTATTCTTTGTAATATTGATTCCTGTGAGATTTGATGTGTTCGATTTTTTAATTCACTAGTAGGTCTAATCGTAGTAGTAGGCGTCATCGCTGGCGTCGAAGTATTTATGCCAAAGTCATACATTTTTCCATATGGTAATTGTATTTGCTTCCTAATACAGCCTAATGACTTTGTTAATCGCCTACCTAATCGATTATTACGATTCTGCTTGAAACCCAATTTCGTTGTTGTTGTTGTTTTCGTTGACTTATGCCTTTTTCGTATACGTAGAATAAAATAAGCCGATTTATCCAATGGCTTGCCTAGCAAATGAGCTGCTTTAAGCCAACTCCTATTGTCAATATCATCCAACTTTTTAGGAGTTTGATAATTCACTCTTGGTCGGTTGACACGTTGATTTATATCACAATCCAATTGACTTTCTAATTCAATTTGTAAATCTTTAGTTTGTTCTGGTGTAGCAGCACCCCGTAGCACTTCAGTTTTCAGTATTTTATCTCTTATGCGTCGGTGAAATGTACTATTCAAAAAGTTTGGATAATTTTCTTTCACAAGTATTGACGGTGCTGATATTATTGTCGGCTTGATAGTGGATAAAGGCTTTGAAGGCATAGACTGTCTCATAGATGGTCGTGATGATAATAAATTGTTACCGGTAGGCAATTTTTTCAACGCTCTACTCTTCATCATTGTCATCATTCTTCTTGGTGTTTTATTGGATATTTCAGGTTGTTGATTAGCTTCTTCATCAGTTAATGTGTTTTTGTTAACGATCACTTCACTTTTTTCTATCACTAAAGGATGAATCTCAGAATACTCGATTCTGTTTAACATTGAAACGCCTTCTTTCCCGCCATTTTGATTCAATAATTTAGGCGTTGTCAAACTTAATAGGTGCACAGTATCAGCGTCCATGTTTGACTCAATGGTGTAATGATCTGAATCAATTTCTTGAAATGATGTCATTATCATTAGTTTTCGTGAACACCACCTATGCTGTGGTGATTGTGCCATCTCAATAGGGTTGTGTTTGTCTTCTACGATTTTATCTTTCTGAATTTTTTCATCTTGATTGTGTACCTTTGGTTCAGCAGTCCTATCTATCTGAAATTCACTATCATTAGGTGGTTTCTGTAAGAGATTATTAGATCTATTGAAAGGCGCGTATGTTGTTTTTATGCGCCTATCTGATGATGCCGCAGCATTATTTCTGTCGACGACATTCTTTTGCTGACTGTGTTTTCTTCTCCACAATAGTGATAGCATACATATTCCTTGAGTACAATCAGACCAACCCATTGATGAAATTATCATCAATTGTGTACAGGATGCTTTGTGTTATCTCTCTTTATATGTCTATGTTTGTATGCATATATATATCAGAGTAGATAGATAGCTAGTTAGATAGTTAAAGGATTGTGAACAGAATTTTCTGCTTTCAAATTTTATCATAGTCACGTGATTATTTCATGTTGGCGGATCGATTGCACACATGAATGACTAACGCTATTTATTAAGCAAAAAACAATCGAATGATTATTATTATTATTATTCATGGATAATCCCCATTCAGGCATTAATGAAAACAAAAAACACGTAGATCAGCGAAGAGTCCATTTTCTCCAGCGGCGAATTCATTTTCTCAGCTGTACAATCGTAAATATATATATATATATATTATTTTTTGTATGTATGTGTACATTATCAGGTTTGTCAAACAAAATTACACTTGGTTATGGTTATTTTAACTAAACAGGTGAAGACTGGAAATACAAGTCAGGAAAATTAGGTGTTAATGAAATTAGGGTAGTAACAAAGGTGATGAGTTGTCACACAAACAGTTGTTAAAAACGAGTTACATAATAATTTGAGTAGTTTGATGATTGAGTTGTACTCAGGATGCAGAAAGAAACAAAGTAGATGATATGAAATAACGTAAGAGTTCTGAATGAATACAAGAACTATAAGCAATTCCAGAACAGGCAAAGAAACAAAATTAAGCCATCAAAATAAAAAAACTCAAATCAAATCAAAAAAAGTTCTTACCATGAGAGTAGAAGTGGTTGAGTAATCTTCTTTTAGACATTTAGAAAACAGAAATGCAGTTAAAAGAACTTATTATGCAGCAGAGGTACGTTGTCTTTTCACAACCACCCCTATTTTATGTTCCAGAAATAAGGATAAACTACCTAAATTCGCCTCCTCTATGTGTATCTACCAGTTTGACTGCAGCTACATTGGGCGTACAATTAGGCAAGTTCATCGTCGTATTTCCGAACATCACCCAACGTGGTTAAGTAAGGGATAAAAAAGATCTATTCGTAGCTCTATTTTAGCCCACCTCGTTGATACTGAGCATAAGGTTGATGTTAATACAGCATTTAAAATTATTTATCGCATTCCAACTTATCTTAATTTTGCTTTGCGAGTTCGTCTTCTACAGACGGCTGAGGCGATTGGCATTCATCTGAAGAAGCCAAGCCTATGTGTACAGAAAAAATTTGTACAGTCACTTTCCCTACCGTGGCCATCGTCACAAGAATGGATAAACAGGACTGCGTCACCCCCTCCCTCTAAACCTATAAAATTATATTTGTCTAAATTATTTATTTTGACCACTTCATCTTTAATTTACGTGTTATTCTTGTAAAATTAATTTATTCTATCCATTTCCACCTTTTAAATCTGTATTGATTTTCTTCGTTAACTATTAACCCATTGACACTGTTTAATTATTGTTAACAAACTTATCGCCACTTGATTGGCAAACTGTTGTATTGTAATTAAAATGTTATATATATTAGAGTAGAGCCAAAGATGAGGATCTAATCGAAAAGTAAATATTTCTTCGCTCAATCTTTCTGTAGTGTTCTTTTGGATGCACAGCTCCGATTTTTCTATGTGAGTGGCCAGAGCTTTAGCAATACAAAAAAGACGAAACCGTATTGCCCTTGGTAGGTTATTCTTGACTCTGTAGATTACTTTGAAGCAGGAGGCATTTGTTGAAATGGAATGATCAGTGTTAACCATGTGTTCAATTATCGCACTCCTTATTGCACCACTATTGCCTTTTCGCAACCATGCTGGCTGGATAGTGTTCTTGAATCCTGTTGAATAGGGTGCGCGTCGAACGACTGATGTACCTGGCTTCACAGCAGCAGGTGAGCTGAACTGTTACTTGATTCCGTATTATTTACTTTGTTCCTATATGTGCAACCTGAGTACAACTCAATCATCAAACTATTCATATTATTACATAGCCTCTTTTTGACAACTCATCACCTTTGTTACTACACATACATACATACATACATACAAAAAATAATACATATATATATATATTTACGATTGTACAGCTGAGAAAATGAATTCGCCGCTGGCGAAAATAGTCTCTTCTCAGATCTACATATTATTATTATTCCCTTGGGTTCCGAGTGGAACATAGGGCTTCAACAACACAACTGCACTTTCTTCTATTTTCTACTGTCTTCTTCATCTGGGTCCACGATCAACCATAATCTTCCGTTTCCTCCATGTGACACTCGATGTCACGACCCAATGATCGCTTCCCATTTGAATTCCTCTTGAACGATGGCCTAGCTAGTGCGCGATGTCATTCGAGGACCTCATCGATGTATGCCCGACCGATCCGCCTCCATTCCCTCCTACATATTTATTGATCAATAGGCTCTCACCTGTTATTTTGTTTGTTACCAACGAGAGTTTCTTGTTACAAATTCTTTCTGGCTGGCCGGCCAACCGTTCATTCGATCTTCAGTATGGAGCCAGCCAGCGAAGGTGGCAGCTGTCGATAAAAGTCTGCAAAAGGCTGTTGGAAATGCTTTTCGTGACACGCTGACCCGTATAGACTGACTTCACACCGGTTGAAAATCTGAATCTTGTTCTTTCCAAACTGGTTTCAGGTTGATGAGGACGTGTCTTGATTTTCCTATTCTGGCTGGTGTTGACATCTTCATCCGTTTCGTCTACCTCTAACTGAAACGATGCTGGCTATCTAGATAAGTGGTGGAAGGAACCTCCGTTAAATTTCTCCCGTTGGTGGTAATTGGTGCTGGTTGTTGTTGCTGTTAGTTGTTTGGTTATCGTCATCACCTCAGTCTTCTCTCTGTGTTCACCTAAAGTTCTCTTGTCATGGGCTGCTTCTTCATCCAATTTGTTGCTTTTCGCCTACAAGTCTTCGAGTTTGTGTGACATTAAACATAAATCATCCAGGCGCGATATCCAGATCTTCTAGAGTCTTCTTGTCGGTGGTCCAACGTATTACTGTCTCCTCGCTCCACGCACACAGTCTGGTGCGTGGGTGATAATAGACAGCCATCCAGCCTTGTCTTATTCTTGTATTCACTTCAAAACTAAGCTTCGCTGAGTTTTGCGCTGTGGGTCACCTGACTGACACGTGACATTGTCACATAGCCAGCCAGCTGTTGAATGAGGTTGATAAAGACTTGGGCACTGCACTCCGTAGCAATGAAGTAGTTTCCAAATTACTTCTCGGTTGTCAACGCTGTCTGTCGAAGGCCTTTTCGAAGTCGGTGAAAGAAGTTGAGGTGAAGCGAGGTTTGACTGCCATTCTGTGCTTTTTTCTGTGATGACGATGCGTAGAGTTGCAGTTTGACCAGCACATGATTTGCTTCCCCTTAATCCACCTTGTTCTGGGTGGTGGGCGGCAAAGTTGTGTATCCAGTGCATCCTTTATTCTCTCCAAGATAATACGACTTAGTGTTTTACTTGGGGTGGACAAGAAGAGCATTATTCCACGCTAGTTAGTTCTTGCAGAGTGAGGCGTAAGTAGCCAGCCTTTCTTGCAGTCGGTAAGTACCTTACCTTCCTTCCAAACCTTTTGTAATAATGGGGAGAGAACATCTGCTGCAGCCTCTGGGTTCGTTTTCAGTGCTTCGGTGGAGTGGGGGGGAATTCCGTCTTGTTTTGCTGTCTTCCCAGCCGGTCGGCGGGTGTTCGGTAGCTTTTACATTCATGTAGGCAAATCAATTTAATGTATCACACTTGAATAAAAGTAAAATTATGGTGTGGGCCACTGATAGGACTTATCAGATGTTCTACGATATGCAAATAGCAGTGAGATACATTTGACATCAAAGAGAGGAAATGAACCAGTGACTGTAACGGCAAAACATGGAAGAAGACATAGAAAAGAAGGCAATGAAACACAATACAAAGGAGGCAGAAGTAACGCACAACGCGAGAGATCCGTGCAAATGGTGATTTGAAGAGAGAAAGTGTACATAACTTCGCTCTATAGAGATACCGAATTCCAAATAAACGTTCCTTTACCAAGTCTCTTATCTTTTACCGCTACAGCTATACTACTATGCCTAAAAAAATTCTGAGATAGCTTTTATTCTCACCCTAATCCAGTTCACAGAGCATACTGACACAACTGCAATATTATCCATCTAAGCTTCAGATTTTATTTGTCATTTCTAATAAATAAATAAATAAATTACAGTGACTATCATTCATTCCTGAACTGATTATCATTGATACCCGAATTCCACTTTAAAAATTTGAACAGAGGAAGAACAAATATTGATTGATAATAACATTATTATTATTCCCTTGGGTTCCTAGTGGAACATAGGGCTTCAACTTCACGTCTCCATTTGCTTCTGTCTTCCTTTTGCTGTACTTTTCACATGCATCCATGTTAGTCCATACTGCTCCAACTCCTCTTCACACGATCTCCTCCATGTCACCCTTGCATTGACGACCCACTCGCCGCTTTCCTTTCGGCCTGGTTCCACTCGAGCAATGGCCTGACGCGCGCGCGATGTCACCCAGCGGCCTCCTCACCGAGTGTCCAATCCATCCATCTCCACTTTCTCCTGCATATTTGTTGGGTGGCGATCGGTCCTAGTTTTGTTTGTTTGTTCACATAGTTTCTTGTTTGCGGTGATTCTTTCCGGCCCCGCCGGGCCATCTGATCTTCAGTATAGATCCAGCGAAGACAGTTGTTGCTTGATGAAAGTCTGCAACAGGCTGTTGGAAATATTCTTTGTGAGCCGCCCGCCCACCCACCAAGTTTCTGATCCGTATAGAAGAACTGACTGACTTCACGTTGTTTGTATTGAAAATCCGACCGAATTTTGTTGTTGATGCTGGCTGAGTGACGAAGATTTCCAGATTGGTTTCAGGTTGATGATGTTGATGTGTTTCTCGCCTGCCTTTCAGATTCTCGCTCGATTTGACATCCTCGTCCGTCCCGACTGTCTGTAGTTGAGACAATGCTCAATGCTAGATAAGTGAATGAATGAAGTAACCTTTTTCAAACCCCTCCCGTTGATGGTGATTGGCGCTGGATTTTACTGTTGTTGTTGTTGTTGGTTGGTTGGTTGGTTATTTTCATAACCTCCGTCTTGTCTATGTTCACTTGGAGTCCTGTCTTCGCTGGCTGCTTCTTCGACCAGTTTGTCGGTGGGTTTTGCTTGTAAGTCTTCGATTTTGTGACAGTGACATCAAACATAAATCATCCACTC